AAAACTCACGTTTAATGCATGCATAAAAACAAAATGTATATTTAACTGACATAATTTCACATTTGCATTTATTGCGTATTTGAGTGCATGTCGTAAGGACATTATAAAAGCGTAGAAGAGCGTTAAAGAAATGCATTTTTAAATCCAGCATTAAAGGTCGCCGCTATACGTAGCGTAGAAATGAAAACATCAGAAAGCTATCTGCATCCGAGAATCTTCGGAGAGTAAAATTCTTAAGCGCTTTATGCTGACGTTAGTGGTTGATACCTTCCGAAAAGGAGAACAAATTATAGAGAAACGATATGAAGTTTTGCAGCTTAACACACATGCCAAGTCAACGTTCTCCCCTTTAGCTTTTGGGCATCCAGTATTCGACCTAAATCGTAAGCGCCTTCTGTTTTCCTTATCTTATTTTTTATTGTTAGCTAAATGTAATCATGAATAAAATACACTGCATGTGGGCTACGCATTGTGTAATGCAAGGGAGATCATTAAGAGTAGGGCGAGGGTGAGTTTGTGCCGGCACCATAGCTACGAAATTCTATTATATGTGTAATGCGAAAATAGTATTTACAAAGATCCTTTGTATGCGATTTCTTTCATTACAAATTATGTATAAACGGTATTAACACATAATTTACTCGATAACAAGAACACTGAAGAAGAACAAAAAAGAAAACGATGAAACAATATTTTCTTCACAATAAAAAGACTTTCGAAGATAATAAGCGAAGATAAGGGACGGTACGCGGTCGACTTGATTGAACGAATTGAATGATCCGACCGACCTTAAACTAATTTGTATATCCCTTACAAGCTGAATACATTGCAAAAAGATTATCCCTTCATCTCCTTCCTGGTGCTTCCTTGGATCTCAACTGCATTGGGTCTTGTAGACTTCTCGTACTCTGGAGACAGCTTCCGCTTGTTGTAATTTCTTAAGCAGCTAACGGTGTATGACGAATACATGTAATCCGCCCTCCCGCCCTTGTCGAATTTCCTCATCACATTTTATCATTACGAATGTGTACCGACCGTAATAATGCATCTTAGAAAGTCAAGTCGTTTCTTTGCAACTCAATTTCATTCTACACATGCTTTGCGTTTGACCGGTGTACGAGTAGGTCGTTGAAGAAAGCGGCACAGTTCAGTTCAGCCTGATCAATAGTTAAACTCACATATCGCTACTATCGTTACGCTTACTAGGGAAGAGCGGAGATGACGAGCACGGTCAGATCAATGCTCTTCACTCTCGACTGCAACGAGGACTTACTCGCTTTGCCATCTAACAGTTACCCCATAGCAAATCGTACCCTTCCCCTTACCGTAAACATCAAAGTCGATTTGAACGTTCGTATCTCTCCCTGCTTCTGTTGTTCTTTTTCATATGCACAAATTTTGAGTTAGAAATCGGCAGCACTCGAGTCACGTCAATGGTCACGGTCGGCCCGCGAATAAGCCAATTAGACCGCAAAGTAAAACTCACTTCTTTTACAGCCTGAACCGTAGAAAAATTGATACCGCCAGCCATCAATATTTGAATTGACTTGGATCTAAAAATTGAGTGAATATATCATCACCCACAGTGCAGGGAGGCATAGCATTTATACCATTTTTCAACATCGATTTGAGACAATGAGTATTAAAGGCTTACCTTCCATCAAAATTAGACATAACTTTCTTACTTATTCCTTCTTCGGTTATTAAGTGTAACATTCGTGTCATGAAACGAAAGCAATCGGGCGATGGCGTCAGCTCTCTGAAGCTTCTGCTGTAGGTTAAAAATTTTGTTGTAAAAATTATTATGGAATAATTGCCGTCTGGACGATTGCTGGCTAATTTTTACATAATAAGAAAACTATTTCGTTTACTTTAATTCGTCTGCTTCACCGTTTCACCTTAAAATTTGTTATTTCTAAAGTTGAAAGTTGAAGGAAATTCTCTTTTTAGTCTGCAAGCCAGAGTAAAGTAAACTTTTGCTCTATATCTTTAATTAACAGATTTTATGCATAATAAAATTACCGACAAACCTTAAACTTGCAAGTGTGTGTATGTGCTTATGTGCGTATAACTTGTAACACTTGTCAGATATTTAAATGTGTATACAAAACAAAACTTTGCCTACATATATAAAACTGTAGACATAAATTTTGTACAACGCAAACTAATGTACGACGACTTCGTTACCGCAGAATGAAATTAAAACAAAGAAAAGGAGGGAAGAAATTCGTTGGGATGCATTCGAGCGAAAAAAACAAAATTTCACAAAATTTATTATTTAAATATTTAAAAAGGAAAAATACTTATATTAACGATAAAAAATGACAGAAAACTTGAAGTAACTCTTAAGGATTTGCGAAAGGATTATTACTTTGCGGTCTGGAGCACGGGGATATCTATCTATCTATCTCTCTTGTTTCACTAAAAATGTGCTTAGTAAAGTTTCCTTCGCTAACTTTTGTTTCGGGTTTGTATTACATTTTAAGATTTTTCTTTTTTTTTTTGCTGGTGTTGTTGTCTTTTTCGCGGTTGGGTAGTTCTTTTTTTTTGTGTTTCGCATTTCAGGATTTAAATTTGAACCATTCTTTGCTTATATTGTTTGTATTTTACTGTTTACGGGTTTTTTCATGTAAGAACCGGCAGAATTGTTGCTGCTTTCGAAGTTCATTTATTGCCTGAGAGAGAGGGACAGAGAGAGAAAGAGAGAGAGAGAGAGAAAGGGAGCTAATATTGTTTTTTTTTTTTTCAAGCCTTGAAGAGTTTTCTAATAAATAATTCCCGTTGCCTTATGCTTTCTAGCGCGGAATGGAACGAACGAGTTCATATCCTTGTTGTGTTCACTTTCCCAAAGTTCAAATTGTTTGCAGTTCGTTTTGTTTTAACATCTACTTTGATTTTAATAAGCTTTTTACCCATAAGCAAACATGTGATGTGTGGTTAGGTTATTACGCCAAAAACGGCATGTATGCCACGATAATCATGTTAAAGTCATTGAAATTTTTTTTACTTAAATTCTGTTAGGGTTAGGCTGCGAGGGAAGGACCGAGGGAAGCGAGATATTAAATTTCAAAAGTTTAAATCGCACGTACATAGAAACAGATTTGTTGGGATTTTCCTGTATTACGTTATGTTAGACAAAAAAGATTAAAAAAATTTCCACAGAACAAAGTAAAGTAAAATAAAGGATTAAGAGCTATTTGCACTCAATTTTCTTATTTTTTTTTTTTTTTTTAACCCACTTGAAAAGTAAAAATGTAAAAGGGATTAGACAAATTACGCAAATGTACTTTCTTACAGGCTAGACAAGATTACCTCGAGTTTTTTCAAGATTCACCGAAAACTCTCTAATAAGCAGAAACCGCATACACTTTTAATCAGCTTCAAAGAAGAAGCGCAATCGATATAGCCATGTATTGCAGCTTCTTCTTGTGCACTTAATTAGTTATCGTAACAAGAGAACAAACTAATAGACCATCTAACGTTACAATTATTTTATCCATAAGGACCTGGTGTTGCTTTCGAGAGAGCGGTGACACACAGGTTGAAAATTGGCAGTTCTAATGATGAGGGATAGTGGTGTGCGATGTGATCTTTAGCCTACAGTTTCTTCATAGTCTTAAACTATCCCTCATATATTCTTTATATGGGTTACCCTAACTGATTTCTAACGTAATTGATAGCACTTTTGCCCGATATCACTTGTTGTACAAATACGTCCCGATGAACATCGTGTTCAGACGGACAGGAGAGAGACTCACTTTTTCTTAGATTTTATCTAAGCATCTTTGTCTGTCTTGTTTTCTTCTGGTCAACCTATCGCCCTCAATTTCCAGCCATGTAAAGCCTAATTTTGAAACGGCGAAGGATGAATAACTGTCGGGTGGTGTAGGGTATTTAATGCACTTGACTATGTCCATTCAAAACTTCCATCTGAAATGCTATTAAAATTAATAAACAAGAAGCACCGAAAACCTGGATCGGAAGTGGTTCTATTCACAATTTCAAATTTCTATATAAGCAAAGGAACATTTAAACCCCAATAGCCTTACTATGGCACATACATCGGATCTCTTCTATTGTTTTTCTGAGAAAAGTTCTCACGCAAGAATGCCAAGAAAAACTAAAATTCTTTCATTGCACAATTTCAGCTTAAAGATATCATCACATGACAGGCCCGATGAAATGACAAAGTAAAACTATTCGAATTTTATATAAAAAAGAAAATCCATAAAATCCATTTAATTATGCAGAAAGGAGGAATTTACTTAAAGACATAGCGATGAGCGAGAACCTAAAGAGATGAAATAACTAAACGCGAAATACATTTTGGGAAAAGAAAAAAAAAAAAAATGCCTTAAACTCTTACCCAGAAAAGGCGCCTTGAAATGTTTCCGAAATAGTTTATAAGAACATCAACATAGAAATGCGTTTAAAAATATTTGCATTTTCTTGCCACCGAAAACAAACTTCGCCGTCATGTATACGGGATATGCGGAGTACATGAAATTTTTTCGTTATCCTTAACTGAGTTGAGTCTCATTTGCATCCAAATGTTTGCCTCCTTAGTTTCATAAGTTTTTTATTTAAACATTTATATTTGCAATTCGTTTAATTAAGCAATGACTTTTTAATGTCTCGTAATTGTCATTTTGCATAATGAGGAGAGGAATCCGGGAGAGACTGGTGCATCAGGCTGTCTGAAGCATCAGTTTTTTCTTTCTTTTTGTGACGGCAAAGTCGCGTTTTAATCAAATTTGTCTCCTTTCCTATCACTTGACAATTCTCGCAATTTCCGCTTTCCCCACTAAGAGTTAATGCAACATTACTTAGGGCTATAAATTTAATTAGTTCGCAGCAGCTTGCTTTGATTAAGTAAAAGCAAATGAGGAAACAAAAGGAATTTTGCTTTTTTCCCTATTTTTACACGACACGTAGTACACGTATAGTAAGCTTATTATTTATTTTGGGTTTTGTTTTTTTTTTTTCTCTCTTTCTTTTAGAAAATGCGTCAATTCCAAAAGGTTTTAGAAGATCTAAGTTCACGAGTAGCCTCAGCTGAGACTACCCAAGCCTCTTGGGTCACTCCTAGCAGTTCAGCGGAAGCCAGTGAACAAATGCAGCATTTACAACGTTTACGTGATAAAATGACAACTGCCGGTGCTCTACTGGATGATTGCAACGAACAGCAATCGTTTTTCACCGCTAATCAAGTGCTGGTTCCGCCCACTTGCCTGTCCAAATTGGAAGATTTGAATACTAGGTAATGTACCCACCTCCGCACCTCATGCAAAATAAGCCATGAACTGCTAGTGCCTCTTACACGCTATACTCACTTATAAGCTATCAATCACACATACATTTGTAATTAATTTTAAATGTATGTTACTCTGTCAGAATGAAACTTCTTCAAATTGCCATGGACGAGCGTCATAAAGTTTTGTTAACTGCCGGCGGTAATCAGTCGTTGGATAATGGAGAAGATGGTCGTACCACATCAAATAGTGGCACCATAGGTCCTCTACCCAATTTAGGTCAAAGTGTTAAGCCCCCTTGGGAGAGAGCTACAACAGCAGCCAATGTGCCTTATTATATAGAGTAAGAACTTTTTCGTGCCATCACGGCTTGATGCTCACTTTTTTTGCTTCTCTCTTAGCCATGAACGTGAAACCACCCACTGGGACCATCCCGATATGATTGATATGATGAAGAGTTTAGCCGATTTGAATGAAATACGTTTCTCCGCTTATCGTACTGCCATGAAATTACGTTCAGTTCAGAAGGCCTTAGCACTGGATCGTATACCGATGGCTACGGCTATAGAATCATTTGATCGTCACGGTTTAAGGGCACAAAATGATAAATTGATCGATATACCCGACATGACAACGGTACTGCATTCACTGTATGTGACTATCGATAAAATCGATTTAACTAAATTATTGGATTTGGCTATAAATTGGATATTAAACGTTTATGATAGTCAGCGTACTGGACAAATTCGAGTTTTAAGTTTTAAGGTCAGTTATAGGAATCTATTCGAGTGAACGCAAAATCGAATAAAATGTGTCATCTTTCCTTAGGTGGGTTTGGTTTTACTATGTCGCGGTCATTTAGAGGAGAAATATCGTTATCTGTTCCGGTTGATAGCGGATCCTGACCGTAAGGTCGATCAACGTAAATTGGGTCTACTACTGCATGATTGTATACAGGCAAGTTAAACGAGAAACTCCGCAAAGGAGTTAAAGTTGATTTAATTGGAGAACAATTTCGAATTTTTCTTCAGGTTCCTCGTCAACTAGGTGAAGTGGCTGCTTTCGGTGGTTCCAATATAGAACCCTCGGTACGCTCATGTTTAGAAAGAGCCGGCATTTCGCAAGAAGGTATTTATTACTAGTTCGATACAAGATCCAAATGACATATGCATACCTTTTAAATGTTTTGCATGTTTCACTTCTCTTTAGCAATTGATTCTAATCAAGAATTAACCATTGAGTTGCATCATTTCCTTGCTTGGCTGCAACATGAACCGCAAAGTTTAGTCTGGCTACCGGTATTACATCGTTTGGCAGCTGCCGAAACAGCCAGACATCAGGTAAGTCAACACCCTTGACTTTGCAACAGATAGCACAACAAACACAATTCAAATCAATATATATATATATATATATATACACACACACACGCGCGCGCGCACACACAACATTCAACACATGTATACATATTTGCCAGTTAATTAACACCTTTTAAAGAATGAATACACACAAACACTTGTTACATACAGATATGCATCCATTTATGCAATTGTGCTAATGTAATGCTGTTGCTTTTCTTATTGTTATTGTAGGCAAAATGTAACATATGCAAAGAGTATCCTATCGTTGGTTTCCGTTATCGTTGCCTGAAGTGTTTTAACTTTGACATGTGCCAAAAGTGTTTCTTCTTTGGACGTAATGCCAAGAATCACAAACTTAGTCATCCTATGCATGAATATTGTACAACGGTAAGTATATAAATATTTCATACAAACATGCATACATACATAAATGCATACATACGTATTTATAATAAGAGAAAAAAGACAAAAAAAAACCCTCATGCACATATAAAAGTGCTAATGTACTCAAACCTCAAGTATCGACAGACAAAAAGGTGACCAGATGCTTTCGTATCAAACTGGTATTGAATAAAAAAATTGTTTTTCCTTTTGTTGTTGTTGTTATTGTTGTTGTTGTTCTTGCTATATTACACTTACGTACCAAGTGTTCATTATAATAAACATACAATGTTTTCATTATTGTGTATATACAGACCACTTCCACCGAAGATGTTAGAGACTTTACAAGAGCCTTGAAAAATAAATTCAAAAGTCGCAAATACTTTAAAAAACATCCCCGAGTGGGCTATTTACCGGTGCAGAGTGTTTTGGAAGGTTTGTTAATTGATTGTTGTGATAAGCAAAACTTTTAGTTATGCGTATAACTTTCTTTCATAAAAGGTGACGCCTTGGAAAGCCCTGCACCGAGTCCTCAACACACAACGCACACTCTACAAAATGATATGCACTCAAGACTGGAAATGTATGCTACGCGTCTAGCTCAAGTCGAATACGGTGGCGGTACCGGTTCCAATTCCACGCCAGACAGTGATGATGAACATCAACTAATCGCACAGTATTGTATGGCTCTACCGACAAATAATGGTGCTGGTGGTGCTCCTAAATCTCCCGTTCAAGTAATGGCTGCTATGGATGCCGAACAAAGGGAAGAATTAGAGGCAATTATACGCGATCTGGAAGAAGAGAATGCCAACTTACAGGCGGAATATCAGCAACTTGTTACCAAACAACAAAGCACAACACCCGAAGACGGTAACGGTAGTGGCATGCAACATTCCAATTCCTCAATGGGCAACTTGGCAGCGGGCTCAAATAACGCAGGAGAGCACGGTCAGGTAAGAAGATTTAACGAGAAAATATAATGAAAAGTGAACTCATTTAAATTAGCTATCAACCGTTGACCTTCACTTTGTCCGTTTTGCACAGTCACTTTGAGTCACTTTAAAATCTTGTATAACATTGTTTGTAATATTCGATGCTGGTATAGCTTTTCTGGCATTTTCATAATTCTAACAACTTGTTATAAGATTAGTGTTAATCTATATTGCATGGAAAAGATCCACTCTTTACTTTACATCTATCCCTCTGTTTGCAAAGAGAAGGAACAAATGATGACGACATAGTGATCTCTCATCTCTTTTCATTGAAGTGAGTTGAAATTTTAATTTTTTTTTAGGATATGATGGCTGAAGCTAAATTACTGCGTCAACATAAAGGCCGCCTGGAGGCTCGCATGCAAATTCTCGAGGATCATAACCGTCAATTGGAAGCGCAATTGCAACGTTTGCGCCAATTATTAGACGAACCCAATAATGGTGGCGTTGGTGGTTCCGGTTCGGCATTAAACTCAAAACCGAACACTCTTCAAACGCGATCTGTAACCGCCTCCCAGTTAAATACAGATTCACCAGCCAAAATAAATCAACAGAATGGTCATTACGATCAGAACACAAGTAAGCAACAATTTTTTATATGAAATTCATTAAAAATTTATTTTCATTCGTATGAAGGTTTACCAAAAATTTATTTTCTTAACAATTGTACTTGTAGCGATAATTGCTTTAGCGTTTAATAAAATCAATGAAAATTTACAAAAACTTATCAACGATATAAAGTAAAGGCATAAATGCATAGGTTGTGTGATGGTCTAATTAAACATTTTCATATACGTTTATAGTAAAAATTAAATTTTAACTCAGTATCATAAATATACACTACACTAATAATACATTTTCGTAACAAATAGTTCTCAGGAGAGCTGAGATCCCCAAAGTAATTAAAAATTGTAGATAAGAACGTTTAAAGAACATTTATTCTGGCTAAGTCGTCTTAACATTTACTTTGGGGCAAAAAGTTAATTAAATGCAAGAATTAAAGCAAACAATCAATGAAAAAATTATATTCGGTTGTGACCGAATCTCCGTTTCCCTAAAGTAGACTAAAAAATGGAAGAGGAAGACTTATATCGTGCATTTGTTATAGTTTATGAGTAACGAGCAAAAAAGACGGAAAGCAAGGCTGTTTTCTGTTTTTGTTGCTAGGACGGGTGGGCCTTGCAGGAGTGTCCTTTAGTCGGTTGGATTCATTTCCAAATCCCCTTTGCAATTTACAGTAGCGTCTCCATTTTTGCAGAAAGGAGGAGTTATGTCACATACAGATGTCACATAGATTGGCACATGAACAGACGGACGGACAAATGGGTATGAAGAATGTATCTATCTTACAGGACATTGAGAAGGCTTTGACAAAAAAATAAAATTTTTATACACAACTTTTACGTTATATTAGGTGGGCGTGGCCAGGTTTTGCGCTTTTGTACAGATACTATGGCATTGCCCATATAGTATACATTCAAGTTTTTAAAAGTTGACCAGCGAGTAAGGAGTATATTTGGGAGAACAGAGGTATTCTCAGATTACGTGGTATGGTACGAGCGCTCTTCCATCGATTTGGGGCAGTTTCAATACCCACCTGCAGGGAAGAGCTTCCAACGGTTCCAAAAAATTGTTGGCGTCCAGGAGACCGTTTTTCATTATATTAAACAAGCAGATGGACAAACGGACATCCGCTATTTGTTTCAGGACAAAGCCCTATACTTTGTAGAGTCTCTGAGGCTTTCTTCTGGGTGTTGCAAACATTGTGGCAAAATGAATATGTCCCTATCTTATCCTTCGATAATGGCATAACATTATATATACGGAAGATTTCTGCACGCATACGCGAGATATTCCTTTTAATTTGATTCTGGCTGTATTTGGTTCAAAGGAAAATAAACAACCATTCCCTGCTGTTAGGGTTTTCAAAATTATAATTTTACGTCATTACAACAGTAAAATGTTTAATCATAGAAAAACATAAATTAAAAATTTCAATTTCTCTGTCTTTGTGTTTTTGTGCTAACTTACATCTGTGAACTGTTACCTTACTAACATGACTGCCTGTAGAAAGTCTCATATTACCCGGTATGAATGATCATCTTTTGGTTGCGACCGCATCAGGAAAACATCATCTCTTGACAGCCAATAATACAGCAGCGAATATACATGCTCTACAACAGCAACAGCAACAACAACAGCAGCAGCAGCAGCAACAACGTAGTTCACATGCTGGCAATGGTGGCAATGGTGGTTTAGATATGAACAGTAGTCATAGCCATTTACCGAACTTGGCAGCCCTCAATTCGTATCTAACAGATGATGGCAGACCACCGCCACCGCCACACAATGCCATAATGCAGCACAATGCAAGCGGTATGCAGTAAATGAACGATGATTGATTTTGGTTTCATTTTATCGTATTTTCTTTTTTTTTTATTTTGGTTTTCATGATTTTCGTTGTTGATTTCGCTGTTGTTAACAGTTATGTTGTATGCAAATTGTACGATTTATTTGTTTTTTTTTTGTTATTTTTAAATTTTTGATTTTTTTTTAAATATTAATTTACTCGTAACCGGGATATATTTTGAACTTCTTACTAAAAGAACAACTTTTTTTTCTATTCCTTCTTTTTTTTCTTAAAACGCTTCCTTTCGGAAATATTTCCTCAACTTCAGAACATAATTAAAAACAAAAAAAAAAGTGAAATAAAAAGCTTTTCAAAGGCCAGCATTGTGTAGCTCCACTAATGAAAGGGTAATTAATTCAAACAAAACTATATGCAGATCTTGTGTAATGAGAGAAGAATTGGAATTTTATATAAGAAAAAAAACAAACAAATTATTATAAGTTTAAGATAACTGATTGGAAGAAAAAAAATTTTTAATTTTTTCGTATTTCTCTCTGCAGCGGCCATTGGTAAAGCGGTAGAAGAGTTAGTAACTGTTATAACCGAACAGGAAATTGAGCAGACCTTGGACGCTGAAGATCTTGATATGACTGCACACGGGGGACAATACCAACACAATATCAACTACAGTAACAGTAACAATAACAGCAGCACCACCAGCCACCTTAATGCCAATGCAAACAACACAATAGTACCGAATGCTACATCGACTCCATTTTCGTATAAAAATTAATTTAAAAATAAAAAATAAATAAATAAATAAATAAATGAAAAACATAAAAAAATAATATAGTTATTAAAAAGATAAAATATTAAATATATATATTAAATATTAAGAATTGAAATAAATGAAAATTAACAAAAAACTGGTTCCGTTGAAAGTAATAACAAAAAACGACCTAATTTAAAACAAAAAACAAAAGAAAAACAGAATTTTACAATTAAATGCAAATGAACTAAGAAATTTCGAACTTGATAAATATAATTTGTGCTGCTCTTTATTTTTAACGGAAAGTACACTTTTATAAAGAACTAAGAAAAACTGCAATATTTAATACTAAAATAAGTAAAAATGTATTTTTTGTTTTTTTTAATATTTTAGTTATATACTTTGAAGAATTTAATTCACAAATTACGAATAGAGAAAAGTAAGGAAAAAAAATTAGATATTGTAATTTCTTTTACTATTTTTTTCTTCTTTTGTTAAAATAATTAAAAAAAATATATATATCCTTAAGAAAATACTTTTTTCAATATAATGTGTATGATAATTATTTTTTTTTTTTTCGATTTGAATATATATATATAAATATTTTTTTTTAACATTTATATTATTTTTTGATTTAATAAAAGTAATTTTAAAAAATATTTCTATTATTTTTTTATTTCTATTTTACTTTAATTAATTTTTAATATCCAATTGAGAAATGAGACGGAAACTTGACACATATCTCCCGCAAATAACTTTTAAATTCTCAAATATGAAGAATAGGAATCTGTCGCCAAAAACCACACCCCCTATACGCGAAAAGCTAAAGAAGGAGTATTCAAAGTCAGCTTCAAACGAAATGCAATTTTCTCCCACTTGTTTTATGTAACAGCATTCAAAATTCAAGCGTTTAGCTTGTATAGCAACACCAGCCATACTTGTATAATAATAACATAAGCCAATGTTAAATTTATCTAATATACAAAAAGGTTTATATTCTTGCCTTTTAGTCTATTTAAGAATGATATAATACAATTTCAGACAATAAGTAAAGTATGGGAAAGTTAACTTTCATTATCGCAAACACTTCGGGTTTAAAAGCAAATGGAAAATGCTCAAAACTCAATCTGATGTCCTAACAATGCGGTAATCTTATCTTAAAAGCTATTTAGCTGAAACAGTTCTAATTACGATGCGCAGACAAATCCACAGGCAGAATTATAATCCATGCCCTCTTATACCCCACCTGTAAAATAATTATGCCATGAAAGGCTAAGTATCTACTCTCTCAATCATGCGATGATGTCCTCTCAAAAAAAAAAAAAAAAATTGCTGAGGTAATTGAGATCACTGCACGCAAACTTGCCTAACCGCCACCTCAAGTGAGCCTGTAACTTACGAGAAGGAAAACATCGCAACACCCCTCTTTACATGCCATTTGTAAAACCCTTCCACCATATAGAACTGGCATGCCTGTGCTGTTGCACGCAAAAAAGGCTTTAAGAGTTTAAGTAATTCATTTATTTATTTATTTTTTCTTATTATCGATTATTGTTTTTTTTCTTTATGCTTACATTTTAATGTTGATTATTTGAAAAAGAAAATCCCTCCTGTTTCACCCTTCACCTCATCTAGAAAATATTTTACAACATATGATATATTTACATAAAAAACTATTGAAATAAATCAATATGTGCTGACGAATACGATCATTGAATGGACCACCTTTTTCTAAAAAAAAAAAAAAAAAAAAATTGGAAAAAAATAAAAATACTGCATACCTATTATATATCTCTTTACATTAATATATTGAAATAAAAAAAAGGAAAGAAAACCAATTAAAAACCATTCCCATCTATAAAAAATAATATTTAATAATAAATAATCGAAATTCTTTGAAATCATCCTAAAAAGTAACTAAAATTTAATACCACTTCTCACTACTAATATATATATAAAATTTAATACCACTTTTCACTAAGATGTATGTATGCTCAACGCGACAAAAACGATATATAAAAATATCAAAAAATTCCATATCTATATACTTAACAACATGTTTTCTTCTAAAAAAGAAAAAAACAATATAAACTAAAAAAAAAAGAAAAAACAAAAAGCAAAACACATTTATAAATGTCTATTAAGCAAATTGTAACTAATCGTATCAATTACAAGCGACAAAATTTATTGAAAACAATCAAACAATGAATGTTCCAGAACTCGAATGATTCAATGATTTTCTATTTTCTTTTTTCTACAAAATTCGACTTTCTCTTATTTGTTGAAAGTTCAGTGAACGTTCCTTTCCGTTCACATGCTTACAATTGGTATTTGATTTATTTCAGTTATACCCATCGCCGTAGAGTATGTTAACTTTGGCTTCGGATTAATCATGATTTCTTACATTATGCACTGTTTTAGATAACGCCACCTAGTGATGCGCTCAGACTTCCCCACTTGATAGTTTTAACACTAAATAAAACCGGTGCAGGCCATGTTTCTGGGTATTGGAAACGAAATTGCCGCGTTCCATGATGTTGAGTGGACATGACTGATTTGTGCGCTCTTTATGCAAGGGCTGATGAGTCACCCAAGGAATAAAAGTATTTCTATCCTTGTACTTTAGGAATAATGAGCAAATACCTATTTCTTTCTTTCATAAACACAAGTGTTCTCAATTTATGTCCTTCGGCCGGCTTGGTCCGATTTTAATAGTAGCCTGCATGCAGGCGTTTCGTTACAGTGTAGACGTTACATAGACGGACAGACGGACATACCTAAATCGATTCGGAATTTGATATTGATCAAGGTTGTGTGTACTATGTAGGCTGTTAACAATATCCTACGGTGGTGGATATAAAAACAATTTAAGCCGAACACTATTTCCTTTCCTTTGGTTTTTCTGTTTTCCGTTTTTCTTTCGCATTGTAATCAGCGTTAGCTTTATTTTTATGTGATCAAGTTGCGTTTCCTGTGCATAAGCGATGGGTACGCTCTTCTCCTCCCACAGTATATATATATACACAATCTTCCCGATTCCAAAACTACTGAAGAATTAAGCACACAAATACAATCCTTGAAATCCCTTTAAATATTTAAATATTAAAGAAAAAAATCGCGACAATATTACATTAAACAAACTTTTTTAGATAATGAAAAAAAATTACATAAAGTATGAATAAAGACATATACTGCAAACACCTAATATCATATTAACATATCTCAAGTTTTACTACTAAAATAAAAAAATTAAAAAATTAAAAATTTAGAAAATAAAATTAACCGAATTTGAAAATTTGCATAAAATCTCTAAAGAAAATAAAATTAAAAAAAACTTATGAAATTTATATGTTTAAAAAATTGTTTTTTTTTTTTTATATATATATATGTATATTTATAAATGATATTTTATATAATTTAATAATTTTTACAAATAAAAAAATTGTATTATTTAAATTATGCTTATGTATATTTCAACTGCCAATAAACACAACATTGCCGACATAATCAAAACCGAACAAACGTGAAAGACATATCCCGATAACATAGACAGACAAAAAGAACGAAGAAAAAAAAAAACCAACTGACTCTTTTTTAATATGTTTTTATGTCATTATTATTATGAGTTATATATAAAACGAAAAAAAAAAAAAAAAAATCAAATGATGATTTAAAACTTTAATAAATTAAAGTGAAGAGGAAACGAAAATGAAAATTTATTAAGTGTTATTTAGCTATTTAAAGTGAATAAAAAATGAAATAGATGTAGAGAAGGGAAGCTCGTGTTGAGTTGCATTTCTTTAAGAATTGCTTTATAACAGAGTTAAATTTTTGGTAATTACGCTCGAAAACAGTTTTGCATGAGACGATAAATATTTAATAAAATGATAATCAGCTTAAACGTATCAATTTAGCATTTAAACATTTTGTAATACTAAAGAAATTTGCTACAGTAACAAAATAAAAGAAAAATAATTACCGCTAGACTAGATTTAGTTAAATTAATTTCCAAAAAAAAAAAACAAAAATAAGAAAAACATTTAAAGCAAAAAAAAGTATATTTTTACTTAACCTCTTCGACTTATCACAACAAATCCCAAAGCTTTACTAATATATCTTAAATAACCAGAGAAAAAAAACTATTATTTTTTTCGGAAATTTAATTTTAATTTTCTTTTCTAATAAAGAAATAAAAAATAGATAAAATTTAAAAATAAAATCGTACCTTTAAATACTTACTTATACATACGTACATACATACATACATACATACATACATACATACGCACACACACACACATACACACACTCTCCTATGTATTTATATGAATTTTGATAAAACATAAGAATTTTTATTTTTATTAATTTCTTGTAACTTCACAAAACCCCTCCCCAAAACTGCTAAAAATGGTAGGAAGTTTTATGTATTAATTCTTTGAAATTTAAACACACGGACACATGCATATTTATATATATATTCATATCATATTAATAACAATATTATATACATACTTAAATATATATATATATCTAAATTATATACTCTTACAAAATATTAAATTAAATATACACACATATATATATATATATATATATATATATATACATAGATATGTATGTATATATATGCATGTATATATATGTATATATATATATATTAATATATATATATTTAACTATAATATAATCGAAAAAACAAAAAAGCGTTTATACATCAATCAATATAACAAATTAAAAGAGTAAAAACATTAAATCGTTATATTAATGAAACACTTGTCGTTTTATTTAAAGTTAGAAAATACACATTCATATAGAGCAAGTAGAAACACGTAAGTAAAAGCTTCGGCCCATCATTAAATACCCCACACCACTACGCTTACTACAATTACTCATATAACGACTTTCCAAAATAATGCATTATAGGATAAGAGGTTCGAACCACTTGTAAAAGCGTTCGTCCTTAGATCAACTCACGTTGCTCTACCAAATTACGTCAAAATGTTTCCCAAAATCTCGACCTATGGATTGATCAGAACAATGCATGGAGAGAACAACAGATAAGCTTAGCTCGTTTTAGAAAGTGATAAACTTGAGATCACCTCAGATCGTTCCATATGATGCGTACATCCGCACAATACTTTTATGCATTCTTTACCAGAAGCGGCGCAGCATACAATGATTACAACTACAGCAAATATGCATACATTGCGTAGCAATTTAATCACGTATTCCTATCTACGTAATGGTCCATCTGCCTGTTATTAGTGGGAATTCTGACACATGTAAAACAATAAGGGAAAGAAAGGGACCCAACTTTGCATATTCTATAATATTAGATGGAGACGATTTTTTGCACTTTTAGAATAACTGTATGATGAACGTGTTGAATTTAATGAGCAACAACGGAACAACGCGGAAAGCAAATGTGTTCACAATTTTTGGTTACATACACAGGCATATACAGGGTTGTAGACATTTCCTTTGGCTGGTTTGGGTCATTTCCAAAGTCTTTTGCAAACGAAAAATTGTTCACCACAGGTACTACACAGTTGGTGAAACGGACAGATGGACATAGGAACAAAAACATTGCAAGAACTTCATTTCTGCGGTCAGGAGATTTCTTGCAACAGACACTACACAGATAGACAGGCGGACAAGCTTAAAGCAATTCGCAATTTGATGCTTATCGGGAGTATATATACTTTGTGGAGTTTGTTCCTCCTGGAGTTGGAAACGTTTTGCCAAGACGAATATATCCGTCATTCTTCGGTGGGAATAAAAAGAAAACGGAAGCTATGCTCAACATTACTAATATTGTAGCAGAATTGATTTCTTGAAATAAGAAAACTCTACCGTCAAGTTCAAGTAAATGAGATGTGGAAGAAAATCTTCTCATAGCAGAAAGGGAGAGGAAAATAATCAGCAAGTGTTACAAAGTACTCCCATTACTTAAGCAATTTATAATCCTCACCGACTGCTCATTTCCATTAAAATGAAAAAAAAATCCTTATTTTTCATATAAAACAACAACACACACATTTTATTACTATTTAATTAGAAAAAAAAAAAAACATCATAAACAATACTTCAGATAACTAACTTAACTTCGTTTTAAAGTAAAAAAAAAAACAATTACATTAAAGTTTATAATACACAATTATTAAAATGCAAAAGAAGAGGAAGACGAAGAAAGCGAACTTGTCTTTAACACTGAACTGAACGAACAAACCACTTCACCTTAGCAAGACAATTAATTGTGAGTAATGGCTGAAGGGGAGGGGAAGACTAAAGACGAAACGATTGAAAACAGCCCAAAAGAGGAGAAATAAATTAAAATAAATTCGCCGTATGCTGCACACATGGTCTACATACATCTATATACAATTACGTGATGATATGAATAAGGCAAAAAAAAATAAAGGAATCAATTGTTCATCACTTGTGATAGTAATGCCCCAAATAGGGAGCGTAGCCACCATGAGCCAAGGCGGGATAGGCTGCATGGAAACCAGGTCCTGGCAGGGGAGCAGGTGCGGGGGCTGGTGCTACATGTACGGGGGCCGGAGCATAAGCTACTTTAGGCAACGGTGGAAGAGGCGGGGCGGGAGCGGGTGCTACTACCGCCACAGGAGCAACGGCCTTGTAAGCTAGGGGCTCTTTACGAACTACAGCATTAAAACCATTGTGGGGATCAGCAGTGTAGTCAACAGTGCGTTTTGTACCGTCAGGGTCAACCACCGAATAACTGCCCTTCACAACATCGCCATGACGTGTTTCATGTTGGCTCTTCGAATCTCCAGTGTAGCCATCTTGTATGTCATAACCGAAACTGTATTTCGGAGCCGGATCATAAGGTTCTGGAGCGGCTGGCTTTGGTGCTAAAAATGAAGGAAGAAACGCGAATGAACAGCTTAATATTTTATGGCGAGTACTTACCAGCTGCTACATAAGCCACTGGCGCATGAGGTGCGTATGCTGGACCATAATGTAAGGGTCCGTGATATGGACCAACAACACCGCAATAACCCACTGTTATAGAGATGGTAAACAAAAGTATCTGAAACAAAAGTTTGAATTAACTCGGTCAGCTTTTAGGAAATGTGTCCGATAAACCATACGCGAAATGCTTTGCTCGCATCACAAAAAAGTGGAAGCCACAATAAATGAAAGTCCATCTAACATCGTGGAGCAAATGGACGCATAGAAGCGTAGGAGCCATAACAACTTATTGAAGGGGCAATATAGCGATTAATGAGGAGAAATGTTTTAATATACGTGAAGTGCCTGCTCTACTAATATAAATATAATCCATAACCATTAAGTCCAATCTATGGGCTCTTACATCCAGGATTTTAGAGGCGAAAGTGCGTGACTGTCTCATTATGTGATCGTCTATCACTTCTACGTTTGTTAGCAATAATCTACCTCACGGCCTGTGCACTGGAATTTGGGCTTTCATAACGCTTGGATGCTTTTCTTCGAAGCCATAATACGCTTTAACTACAAATATAATAAGCAGCGAAAAAATTGTTGGGGTCTGGGATGCGCTCGAGCGATAATAATATTGTGAAACATGTACTTTTGTGCTAATATAAAGGACAAAAAAGCCTTTCCATATACCAAGCCACTCCGATGTAGCTGTGATCCGTTTATATTGGGATCGTTGTTCTACTAAAAGTGAATTAATCCACAGCTGCTACAATAATTGATATACTTTAAAATGTTCTTGTTAACGTCATCGCCGCGATCGAAGACGTGTTAGTTGACGCGGACAAATTATCGGGTCAAGAGTAGTATTACATTCTTGCTGACTTAAGTTTATTCGCACGATGACAGGAAAGAACAGGTTGGAGGCAGCTATTAGCTAGCTATAGCGGTCTGTAGCCTAAACAGCACTACAACGCACGCGACTTATCTTAAGACGTACCCCTAAGGTATCACATTTTTATTGGTTGTTACGTTAAGTCTTACGTGAACGTATTGTAAAGGTCTAAATACTTGAAAATCACTTTGGTTGTAAAACACCCTTTACCTGAACCACTTTATTGTTTCATTGGATTGTTTTCTTCTTTTTTTTTTTTTAGTGGCTCTGCGGCCGTTTTATTGCAGTTTTTGAAAAGTTTTTTTTTAATTCATAAATTGCACACACCTTTAATACAAACATATTCCGGTAGTCAAGAATTCAAAGTGTTATCCTTTTAGTTTCAGAATGAGCTCGTGGTATATCCTTTTTCGAAATACCCGAAAAATCCGCAAGGTAATCACTTAAAGTCGCTTCGTAGGAAGCTAACTAACTGAACGTGACACTAGTGAAAAAATGTCAACGTTTCTCTTTCAACCGCACGATCTGTCTTAAAAGCTTATACAGATAATATTGTGCTTCGCTGAATACAATTCTTAACTTTTATAGCCGCAATAGCTTTCCGATGCGGAACAATAAGAAAACAACACGCCAGCATATGCGCAGCGTCAGCGAGAGATCTAATAAGTTGCTAGCGTTTAAATGTCGCTAGCTTCACATGATCCCACCATTACCAAAGCAATGAACTGAACGAAATGAGGCAAATTTCAAAGATAAACAAAAAGCACACGAGAGGAGCACATGCAAACAACAATAAAAGACATAGACAAAGAGTTGTAAGAATATTCAACTTTTAGTCAGGCAGTAGTGAGGAGAAAGAGATAAGGAGAGGTCATTCCTAGTTGTTTGACGAATATATGAATGAATGGATGAACGAACGATCAACCACTGCCATTACTGTACCTCTGCAGACACAATACACTAATTTAAGTAGTTAAGAAATCTTTAAGCAAAACAACACCTCGAAGTGAAAAAAGAAGTTTATCTATAAATTCAACAAATAACAACATACATACAAATGATCGTACAAGAGGAAAATTTACAAGAATACAATATGTTCAGGGAAATGTACCCTAAAGAAAAAAATCGATATATTTCAATGAAGACTACATTTGCGAACCGAATGGGAAACTGACTCAACCGTGGCGCAACAATTTCGAGTAGAAGATGCTTTCTAAACTGTGCGATACTGCGTTTTTTAAAAACGTGTTTTAATATCACCCATAAGTCCATTTTTATATTAATCGCCTCTTCCCTCCAACCTTACCCTACAAATTCTTCCCAATCACGACCGTGCGCATACGTACAAGACGAACCTCCCGAGTGGCTGATCAAAAAAAAAAAAAAAACGAAAAGTTTTATTAACTAAAGCCAGCTTTTGTGCAACAGAAAGTAATATTTTTTTTATCATGTAGAAAAAGTCAGACACTATTGTGTAACGCAATAATACACTATATTAATATAGACAAAAAGTGAGACGGATGTCGGAGGTTGTAACGGATAAACGTAACCGTCATTGTAAAACTAGCCAGTTTGGCTATTGATTTACTCATTTCATTTTCTATTCGGGAAAGATTACACAGGCAGATGAACGTTCTCTTACAAAGACGGATGGACGAGCGAAACCTTTTTCCCGAACGGACTGATGTTACCTGGACTTTGCGTTGTTCTACACACACGGCCTCCTTCGGCATATAATCTTGTGTGGAATACCCCGCTGACAGCCTACATGGCGTGCCGGGGAAGTTGGTTTTCAACTGTAATTTATTTCCTTCATGCTCGTGTCCCCTTTTAAGCGCTCCCACTTCTTTTCAGCGCTTGCATAATAACGAATTGTATCGATACTGTTCCTAGTGCGATTTCTCTCTCCAGATCATTTTTAATGTTTATGATAATTGAAGGGAAACTTCTACGTTCACCTAAAACTCAAGCGGTCGAAACAACCGCACTTGTTAAAATTTGTATAAAAAAAGCTTACACGTTGGCTAAATTGGTTTTGTGGGTCATTGGGCAAATAAGGTGAAAAGTAAAATGGTAAAATAACACACTATAGCTACGATAACTTTGTACGTAATATGAACGTAAAAAAAGCGATTTCCTAGAAAGCCGCAGCACAGTTGTATCAACGAGCATACGAAAATATATATAAAAACACATATTGGTGCCACACAATTGTCTACGGATTTGTTTCAATACATTTTGGTTTTTTGTAGTGGTTGAGTGAGCAGCCTGTCTGTCAAACTGTCTGCTAATGTCAATGATTTACATTCACAAGTAAACAAACTGAGAGACCCAAGCCGAGTAACATGGATATCTTAATAGTTACGATATGCAGACATTTACAAAATCCAAGTAAGATTACAGATAATTTTATAAGAAATTGAAAGCAAAAAAATTTTAAATAAAAAGCAAGACAACAAAAAACAACATATAAAACTACTCTGCAACATGTCAAAATATATTGTCTTCGCTAATAAATTAAATTATAAATCTTTGTTTTTTGCCTTTTGTTCGATTTCAGTTAAAATGTTTTTGCAATTTAAATAGTTTGCATAGAAAACGTACACAAACACAATAACAATAACAATAAAACGGCATAACAAGCGAGGATTTTATCGTTGTTGTTGTTGTTATTATTATTATTATTGTTGTAGGAGAATAGCATATGACATTATGCACATACATATAATACGTATCGATGATGCTGAAGATGATGATGCTCATCATGTAGTTGATGATGCGGATTGACCTTTACTTACATTTGTCGTTTTTGTTTTTTTCTTTTTTCTTTTGAAAAAAAAATTTTAATTCCAAGCATAAAGTAAATAGCTACACAACTAACTACTTAATAACATTAAATTTATGCATATGCATCAACATACACACACTTCAATGCTCTTACCTGTACACTGTTTTTCTCTAGAGGCAGCCAAGTATCGATGATAGTTGCGTTGGCAACCGCTTTGCATTGCACACTTACCTGCATTCGGCGCTTTTCGAATCATTAAGTGTCTCTAGAGCCCAAAAACGGAAAACGTTAACCTTTTCATTAGCTTCAGTTCAGTTCTCCATCTCTTGATGGAAGTTACTAAAGAACAAAAATATGTATCGTCTCTGTCAACAAACAATTTCACATCCACTACACAGAAAGAATATTAATTTCATCGTGTAGCAGCAACCACCGGAATCAAACTTAATTCCATCAATGAACGAATTCATTTACTATATTTGTCTGTCTGTCCATTCCGTTATCAGCTATTCAGCTATTTTCGACTACAGTTTATGCTAAGATACACAATACATTTTTTAAGCAGGTCGAGCTCGAGAACCGATCATATTGGACTGATCCCTCAGCTACCAACCTATTTCCTTCCTTTACTTACATAAGTAGTACTTACGTAAGCAAACACTGGTACAAAAAACTTTTCTTAACTTTTCTTTTCTTTTTCCTTTAGTTTAGTATACTTCTGTTACTTATTCCGACATTCTTTTCTGACCTTCTTTCTTACTATAATCCTTCAAATTTTGCGGCGGAATCTTCTTGAGGGTTCCAAATTCGGTTTAAACTACAGAACTCCTTTCTTGTCGTTTTTTTTTTTTTTTTTTTTGCTTTTTATTCTTAAAACCATTGTCTCTTATTTTATCATTATTTTTTGCCGTAGCCGCTTGTGAAATCGTTTAAACCGTTTACAGAATTTTTCAATATCAATAAATTTTATTGTTTCGATTATGCGCGAAATAACCTTTTCATTGTCTTTTAGGAAATCAGAGCACATATATACCATTGTAAATGATATTAAATCACGATCACATCATTGAAAAGTAAAAATTATACAAAAAAAAAATGTCATGAATAGTTTTTTTGAATACTTAATAAATCTTAAATTACATTTAAAAATAAATCAAGTGCTCGACACAACGGGTACGTTTGCGGATAAATTTATTTACAAAGACGAGGCAAATACTGACTTTGATTCGATTTTTCGCATATTAATGCGCACAACATTTTATATAAAGATGCAAATGAAGACGAAGATCGTAATTCAAGAGAAATGAAAATCGAATCCCAGCCTAAAGAGTTTTAATTTTCACTTTAATAATAATTTTAAAGAGCGAAGAAGAAACATCCGCAAAAGGTTTTCGTCCTATTACAAAAACCTTGAAAATCGCAAAATGAAAAATGAAAATGAAAAAAAAAAATTTATTTGATTTTTGAACTTAACCTAGCGGGAATGTAGATGCAAAGCCAACTTTGTTTTTCCCAGCAGAAGCTTGGGACTTGTAATCGTGATTTTAAAGGTAGATTGGTTGTGAATCGTACATTCGTCATGATTATACGCATGGATTCCGTTTGGTGTATATCGACAAAGAACAAGCCTTTCTTTAGTTTCATAGAGTATTTCTTACGCCGACAATCTACTTCAGTGCCAACTATATAATCCTGTTTTTACTACTGCGCTCTATTTATAAAACGACCGCATTCTATTCCATGTCCATAGATTTATATCCATATATGTGCACTTTAGTTTTCAATTTTCGCTTGAATTTTAAGATTCCCTCCCATGAAAGTAAGCACCTATGTGAAGCTGTATGCTCAACTAAGTAGAGGTAGTACAGAGTGTAATAGCTATCAGTAGTACGCAAAGTTTAGAATGCTTCAACATTAAATTTCTTGCCTGAACCTCGTGTTGCTCCGTGTTGTTTGCACCAGGATTCTATTTCATATCAATTTTCTTTCGAAAGCATTGCTTATAGCTCATTGATATTTTCTTATTTTGCAACTCTTCTACTATGCAGCTCTAACTATTTGTATTCCTTGCAGAATCGAGACTTATGGACTTCGTGTTCAAACAAACAAAAAAAAAAACAGAAATGGCGTTGACGACTGAAAACCGAAGTGATAAAGAAATTTAATTAAAGATCTACCTTAGCTTTCTCCATTGCATAATATCTTTTTTTGCGTTGTCAAGTCCGATTTTCCATATATCAAGACATTTCTGAATACCGCCCAAATTTGAACTCTTTTAGCAAATTGAAGTAAAGGAGACCGAATTTAGTTCCAGAGTTTGCTTTCACATTTTACAACGCAGCCTAAGGAATACAATAAAAACAATGCATCCAAAGTAAAAAAAACTAGGCATTGCGTTGGGCGGTTAAAAACCCGAAAATTATTTCTTATGGTTTACACACTTAGAATCAGCTGCGACTTCTCTGAGAGCCGACTTTTACTACGACGCAACAAGAAGTCCACCGCACAAATTTCTTTACGAATTGAACAAAACACTTCGCTTTTCAAAAACGCTCGCCATTCTCACACTACCGCCTTAAAAATAGACTAAACTACGCGAATAAGAAAAAACATACACATCCGCCTGAGTGGTTGAATAGGCAAGAGTATCGACTAGCAACTCAATGGTCGTGGGTTCAAATCTCAAGTGCGGTAGAGTTTTAAATGAAGCCGGAAGTCTTAGATGCTAGTGCTTTAAAACATTAGCATTAGAATTCATTCTCTGGCTAAGTTTATAATAATAATAATAATAATAATAATAATAATAATAAGAAAAAAAACAAACGTCGTTAACACGAGTAAATAAAAAACCGAAGTGGTAAGGAAAGTCAATGAAAAGCATATGTTAATCCCCCCGGGTGACTAATTGTTTCTTGCTACGTCCGATTTCTCGTAAACCCATTCTTTTACTACAATGCAACAAGAACTCGACCGACATTTCTGCATATCCCACAAATTCCTAGACAAAAAACTCTTCGTGAACAGAAGCAAACAAGTTCATCAAAACGGCACTGGCATATAAGGCAAAGACTTAATCAAATTAAGGCTTCACTCTTTTAATTTAGCGATTTGTAGACCTTCGATCATGTTTTTGTAATACGCTTACATTGAGGTTGTTTCCAGGCATTCCCGTAGCTTCAGCTGACGGAAAATCTCGATTTCTTCATGTAAAATACCTCAACGTTTATTGTGATGTCTCTGCAATCTCTGTAGAAATTGACGATAAAAATATTCTTTTCAAAACAGAAACGTTCTTTAGAGATTGGTAAGTGTTACAAAGTGTCCCCTTGTTGGGCTCACCATAAGAGGCGGTATGTACATTGGACATTGCAGTGTTTTCCCAAGGTTCTGTGTGACCTTTTACTAAAATTTAACAAACGTTGTTAGTCAAAAATTCGCGAAATAGTTCGATACTTGCAAGTCCCTGTGCAGTTTACCAGAAGGCACTCACAAGAATCCTTTATTAAAAACAGGACGACAGCGCACGTGCATATCTAAAGATAGTAAGTATAATATAAAGGCGCCTAGCGGAAGGAAGATCCCAAAGGGTAGTAAATTTATATATATATATATATGTTGTAGGAGTTTTGTTCACTTAATTTTTATGACTACAGCAAATTGATTTAGTCAGGTATATATGTAAAGATGATTGTAAAATAGACGACGACTTGACAAAATCGTTAAAAATGGTTGCGTACAACTTTGCCTTTTTTTTTAAAAGTTCACTAGCAATATTTAGAAATCACCTGTTGATTGAATGAATTTCGCTCTACAAGAGCCGGAGATAGCTTTTAAAAAGAAGTCGATCCATCATTAACAATATCGAATAATAAAATTGCGGCATCTTTATTCGTTAACAGTGGGGAACGTTGGTGTTGACTTTTTCTTGCCTTCATCTTTTCAAGTCAGTTATTTGAATTATGTCTAATGAATTAATTTTTTCGCTCAACAAATTACAGGCTAATCAATTATGGGTACAAGGCAAAGAGTATCTCCTCATTAATCACCACATTCCTCCAGAGATCATTAATATTATATTATACAAATACGTATACATATTTTTGGTCAGTGTTTAGTCATGTCTTTGCTTTGGAGATTCATATCAAAAAAATAAAGTCTTCTACATTTTCTCTATTAAAAAAGCAGAAAGTTGTTAAAATTATAGCTAATTTAAATTAAAAGTTGAATTCGAATAAACATAAACGGAAGGAATGAAAACTTTACGAATTATCCGGCTGCTGGTTAGGAATTGTCGACGAAGACAAAGTGTCTACGGATTGTGTACGCTTTTCCATAAAGCTAAATGTATACCAGCGATCGTTTTTGCCGAAATTTTCACCATCCTCCAAAGAATTTGGCAAAGTGCTGCAAATAGAAAACAAAACATTTCTTCAAACATATGAGGATTTTCTGTCGGACTTTTTTTCGTACCGATGCAGAGTTTCTGGTAATAAGAGACATAGTGCTGCGCCCAGTAATGAGATGAAACCTAAAATTATTTCTGGCAAAGGAAAGAAATAATGTCGCATGTACAAAATGTACGTGCTGAAGAATGTGAAAGCATATCCGACTACATGGACGACGGCCACTCCCTGGCCTCTCACACATGTAGGTATTAGTTCAGTAGCGTATTGAGCTCCCGAATTGTAGGCGACCGTAACGCCGAACCGTCCAATTATTGATAATGTCACTATCAACGTAACATCTTTAAATGTGATTTACAAAAAAAAAAAAAAAGAAGAAGAAGAAGAAGAACAAACAGTCGTTTAAACTAAGAGAATTAATTAATTAATTAGTTATGCATTTACTTAGAAATCTGTGCATTTATATATATTTCAAGCTTACTTTTCTCACTGTCGCTTTGAAATAATATGACTCCCGTGCATGAAATGAATATGCCGCTAAGCAACAATGACATGGATGCCATGGCTTTGCGGCCGATACGATCTTGTAAAGCAATTAAAAGTAAACAAGCTGGCAAAATAGTGGTAGCACTTAACGTAAACATAACAAATGGTGAAATACCAAGGCCTTGAACATTACGTGAAACAGCGTCGTAGCATAAAGTAATTACCATTCTATTTACAAAAACAAATTGCACATAAACAATTTCCGAATTTATTTAAAAGGTTGTTACTTACGATTTAAAAAACAATATCAACGTATTGCGCCTAAGGCGCGGTGTTGCAAATAACCCCAATAGATTTGGTCCCACCTTAACATACAACTGTTTGCGTTTGCAATCGTTTATAAATTCTGTATACACTGACTCATCTAAAGCACGACCATTAATTTTAGCCACTTGCCTGAGACTTGCTGTCGCTTTGTCATATTTCTGTTTCGATATCAACCATTGCACGCTTTCCGGTACTATGAAGTAGAACAGCGGCACTACAATGAGAGGTATAGATGTAGCCAGTAGGAAACCGCGCCATGTTTGCATCACAACCGCTACCCAGGGCGCCATCATCGATCCCAAACAATAAAAGAAACCAATGCAAAGACTAAGACCTATAGTGCGTAAGGACGGACGCAGGTATTCCATAACTGCAAAAAAGCAAATCCCCGAAAAATTCTTTTATATAAAAAAAAAAAATTAATTTTTAAGTAAAATTGCTTTTCGGGAAAATGAGATGGGCGCTTTAACATGTATGTGTAAACAGTAGCATGCAGCCGTGAATACATACATACAAACCATACGCAGCTCATTGTGAAAGTAAAAGTAAATTGCTAAGAAATTTGACTGTTTTCTTAAACTACCTTGAAAAAATGTAAAAGCGTTTATGTAAGTGAAGCCAAGAAATTCGTATGAAAACTCATGGTTCTGAGGTGAAATAGTCATCGACCCATTTTCAGACATCTTCAAGCCGTGACCTGTTAAATATGACTGCAAGATGCGGGGTGTGTTGACACTTCCAATCCTAATCCCGAAATTACTTCCTTGCTGCTGTTTCACGAGACGAACGGACGTATGCGAACTTCATCCTTTTCAGGACTAAAATTTGTTGTCCGTAACCTCACAAATCTGTTTTGATATGTTCCGCCAACTTAATCATTTCCGTAGCTTCAGATGCATTTTTGTCCAGTTTAATCCAGTGAAGAACTCAGAAAACCACTGTGCTGCAAATGACATCCATCGTTTTAAATTTTGCTATATGCTGAACCGTACTTTGCCTAAACTTACTACTAAACTTAGTACTTACTTTGTACTAAAACTTACTTAGTACAAGCATCAATATCTAAGTCATCTATCTATATGTGAAATTTCGGAGAAATTGAAAACATCAACTACGTTTTGTGAAGCCAACTATTTCAGTGGAATGAATTTATTTCCGCACCTAATACGATCATTGACGAACACTTTGGGCAGATATAGTGCGTAAACCTCTAACCTTCATTTTTTTTTCTAATATGATCAATTGGCCTTCGACGATGGTTACTTATAGATAAAACACGGTAATGTTTGGGAAAAAAATGTGGGGAAGGAAAGAGAGATGCGACGCATGGTCGAAAGTATTACACTTTTTAGGATATCTAAGTGCATTGCTGCTCTCGGCTCTGTTTCTTTTTTATCATATACCGTTTGATCGAAAGCTTACCCAAAATATACATCATCACGAAATTACTGTCTGTGGCCAAGCCGGATATGAAACGAAAAATACTAAATCGTACTACAGACGTCCCAAATATAGTTAAAATATTACCCAACATAGCGATAATATTGGCCAAAATGAGTATGGGAAGCCGTCCTGAAAACCGAAAGAATCTTTTAATTAATCGGAGGCTGTTTAATTGTAGGCGCATTGTTTTCGTTCATTACCTAGAACATCGGCTAACAAGCCGAATATCAATGTACCCACGACTGAGCCAATGAAAAACATGCTTTGTCCTAATGTTACTTTCCAGGCATTATCGCAAATCCAGTCCAATTCACTGGTTAAACTCTGGTAACCCATATACAGATCGTATTCATAATAATCGCAATGAGTAGCAGATGCATTATTTGAAGGTAGACAAGATGAAGGAGCTACCGGATCGTTGTTTGCTTGCGAATAATTTCGGTTACTTTCTACGCACCTAAGAACATAAACAATAAGTTTTCAATGAAAAGCAACGCAACTTTTTACGAGCATTAAGTTCTCCGGGTATTACACTGCCGCTATACTGTATATATTTATATACTCACCGGTATTTCGGTACAAAGCTAATAATCGTTTGTGAGTAGTAGTGAGTAGAAGAGAGTATGTTTATAATGGAAAACAATAACAACATGATAATCTGCAAACGGTTGCAATCGCCGCATTTCTCTAAGATTTTATCAATTTCGAGCATTTTTCCTCTTTGTTGACGATACGTCACCTATGACGGCATAAGCTATAAACAAAAAAAAAAGAAATAAAAAAAATTCTGTAGCCAAACATCTTTAATTTTCTCACATGCGATATACGTAAATAAATATTATAATCCATGTGTTTTTTCTCTTTTTTTTTTCTTTTATTGTTGTTCTTAGTTTCTTATGTTGATATATATGTATGGGGATGTGTATACATATAAATGTATGGGTAGGTGTATACATTTCTCAGCAAACTCGGAAAGAAATTATACTTTTGTGTACATTTATATCGCCATCAATGGTTACGAGTGTGTTAAGTTTTTCTTAATACTCGTAACAAGGTTAGTAATAATTGTACTTGCAATGAATATAAAATGTAAATAAAAAATAAAGCTCAAGAACTTTAGCTAGTCGTTCAAAATTTCAAATTTTTTCGATCCCATATCCTTCCGGTGTGTATAACAATACTTTGTGGTTTAAGTTTTCTACAAAGCCTTTTTATTTAAAACTCTAAAGAAGAGCATAAGTATGTCTTAATGATTTCGTATCCCCTTACGTGCATGTGCTGCGCCCCGGAACAACTAAAATATTTGTTTAGTATTTTAGAAAAAATACTACGGTATCCGAGAGTAATAGGGGTTTGTTGGTAGAATCAAGTACAGCGGAAATTTTAATATGGGGTGATCAACATGGCAGTTCGGTTTTCGAGTAAGCAGCGCTTAACAACTCACTCTTTATAATTAATTATGTATTAATTATTTTCCTTTTTCCAGCTTTTTCCTGGAGAAAAGTAAACCTTTTGCATATAATGCGTTAAAAAAGTGGAGTTTTCACTTTTGTATGTGTTCAACTATTACAAACTTTGAATATTCTCTTCGAAAAAATACGTAATGAAACTTCATTCCATGGTAACCCGCATAGTAGAGGATGCCCAAAACGTCCCACTCTGCTCTCTAATACAAGATATTAAGGATTTTATGATCTTCGTGAACAGAGCTCTGCATGGGAGCACTAAAAGAAAGTTCTAAATAAGTGTAATAAGAAATCTTATTATACGCAAGTAATGCTCACTATTTAGATAGGTATTCCGAAGAGAAATAAAAGCAAAAAAAAAAAAAAAAAAAAACAATATTCTCCCAACGAGTAATACTTTCATGGGGATAACAAATCCAAATCCATCTCACAGAGAGTCGTTAAGACTTTTGCACTTAATTCCGTGTAATTGACGTGCTATTCACATTTGTGTGGATGTTAAATATTAATTCACGTTTCGTTAGCATAAAAATTACTTAATGATATGACAATTAGGAAAACATATATTCAACTAAAAGTGAATCTATTGACACGCAACGCTTATACAATTTTGTTCCCTTTTGTTATAACTAATCGTTCAATAAAACAGAAGCTTAAAAAAATACACGTTGTATACTTCATCGATGACAAAAGACAAAATTGTAAATGTAAGCGAATGCGTCCTTCTTCGTGTTAAGCAATTAATTGTATATGACGAAGACATACGGCATGATTTGTCCACCCGGCATTGTCAGATTTCCCCATAAAACTTCATCACTCTGAATTGTGTATTTGCCGTAATAATGTATTTAAGAATAATATTTTTGTCAATTCGTCAAGCCGTGTCGTTACAACACAATTTCATACTAGACATGCCATGCTTTTCTCGAGTACACGAGTATGCCGCCAAATAGGTCGACGTAGTAAGTCTCGCTGCAATAGTTAAGATATGTATTCTATAAAAAATTATTAAGACTTCATTTTTCAACGATCACTCTTATCTAGTTTTACGGTCTTTTTTTACTATGACTACTGCTTCAATTCCTCAAAGTTATATTTACGCATTCTTCGAAATCATAACGAAATTTGGGATGAAAGAAAATAAATAATTTATTTTCCTATTAATTGAACTGCCAAATCACTTTCGAGCGAACATACAACGTGTCAAAACTTTACACCGAAGAGTAGATATAAGGATAAGCAGCAAGCTTGTGTAAAAGATTTTATATGCTACGCTCCCGATAGAGGTAGTTAACTCAGTGCGTTCACCTTTTCTCAGTTGTCGTCAAATTAAATCAAATAAACGGACGAATAAACAATTGAGTCGATTAAAAGTTTACGGAATCTCGAATTTGTACCTAACATACTCCTGAGGCGAGCCTCTCATAAGCACACAGCGCTGTTTGCTTCATAAGTCATTTACTAACACTAAAGCTGATAAAGAAACGTCATCAAAACGTTTGTTTCTCATTTCATAAATTTTATTAATTATTGTTTAATTTGAAAAAATATTTGCATAATCATTTCATTTATATTAATGAAATTTTTCACTGAAGCTTAGCTAACACTCGCAAGCGCCCGCCAAAATAATATAAGACGCAACTAACTAACTACTAAATATGATAGTTAATTAATCTAATGTTCAAGAATTTAAAAATTAATCTTTAATTCAAAAAACAATTATTATTATTATTATTATTACTATTATTATAACAGATTCAGACCACGCTACTCTTTTTACATCTGAGTTAATCCAAAAAAAGTTGTAACTGAGTCTGTTAATATTTTTAAATTTCAATTATGGGCCCAAGTCCTTGGGAACAATCTACGGAAGATGGAACGAAACTGGAAGTAGGGTTGAGTGTAGAATAGCCTATGGCATAACATCAGCTGATCCGGTAAGAAAGTTTCGATCATTCATCCTTCTCCATAAGGGTTTAGTCTCGGGTATTTCTTGAGTTTATACAGTCTGTGGAGTGTTTGTGCGATATAAAGTGAAACCTCCCTATTACTGTCGAACTAACTGACTTACACGGACGATTGTCCGCTACACCTTTCGAACGTCTTACCCTTTGACCTACGTTGATATAACTAATTATCCTCTTCCTCTAAAATGTTTGGCGTGATGTCTCCGTTATTAAGACAAGCATTCATAAACGTTAGTCCGTCTTTATATCCCTTTGTTCCTATAACCCTTCGGCTTTATTGATTCTTTTTTTTTCGAGATGCATAAAAACATGAACTGAACTATGCAAACCAATGCCTTTAAATTATTTTATTCATCAAAGGAATGAAAATTTTTAAAAGTTTTCTTATCAAAATGTATTATTATGATGTTTGAAGGACATTGCTTCGCAAAAATAATCTTTTTTATTGTTTCAATGAATGATTGTTACGGTAAAAATGATGAACGTAATACTGTAGAATATCTCTAATAACTAATGAGTAAATAAGCGTTATTTACTGAATTATAAATAAATGAATAATAACATAAAAATATTAGTAAATGATTAAAGCATGTAAATGAAATCACATAAATAGCAGAATTGATATAAGAGAATCTCGAGAAGCTTTATTAGTTATAAGGGTTATACCCTACAGCTGCCTTGTGGGGTGACTTTACTAAGTTTGTGCGGATATATATATAACACCCAGAAGGATTTGAGATAGATTCAGAATCACTTTCTGAATCGACTTATGTCTGCCTGTCTGCCTGTCTGTCTGCCCGTCCGATATTCTTATGTTCAAACGCAACTTCTGAGATATTTTGAGGACGTATTCTGCCCCGAGGAGGAACGTTGTCGGAAATGGTTCGGATCCGATCACTTTTTAAGACAATGTGGTGGGGACCGAGGTCCCGTATAACGCTTTTACTTCATTTTCGAAATATTGTTCAAAGTCTTCTGTCTGAAGTCACACTAACTTTTTTGATTTTTCAAAATTTACTAAATCTAGAGCAGAATGTTCAAATTGAAAGTTCTCAATGGCCTCGGTTCCCAATTGTTTTGGCACACTATGACATATATTGTATTGCATTTGGATTGAAAGCTTAAATTTATCCTTATTTGTATTTGCTTGCCTCGAATTATTCTGTACTTAAACCTACACAATTAATTATCTTTTCGAAAATCTTGTTTTTTTAGAAATGCATTCTTTAATGGGGAAAAAGTATCCTTCACCACTCATGTATTATATGCAAGAAGCGTTGTATGCACATGATTACAGCATAAACTGTAGCGTTAGAACACATTATACTTTGATCTTTTCTTAATTTTAATTCTTAAGGTTTTTTTTTTTTTTTCTTTTTTCTTTGCGAAGAAAAATACGTTTTATGTTCAAATATTTATATTAGTAATTTTATATTTATATTTTAATAGGAATAGGTTTTGTTCTATCCTTTTTTTTTTGAATTTATTTCATAAATATTCTTCAAATGTTTTTTTCAAAATGCCTTATCATAAGTATTTATATTTTTAATTTATTACTTTATTTAACGGAACGTTTTATTCAAGTTCACGTCACTGTACGCGAAAATCAACTGTTACTCGACCGCTTGTAGAGAAATGTATTAACTATGAAAAATTTCTATAAATTATCTATCCGTCTTATAAAATAAAAGCGAAACCTAAAACAATAACAAAAGCAACAGAAACAAAAAAAAAAAAAATAAATAAATAAACGAAATTTTAAACAAGCAGGGAACTGGGCTGGGGATGCAAAGCAATTGTTTTTAATTGATTAAAATATAAAAAGATGAACAGAAGAAGAACGCTCCCAGAACAAACCATACATTTTCGTCCACATGTGTTTTCTCTTAATCGGAAGTGAGGCAAGAGCACAAATATGCAAAGACTGTCTCATCATAGGCCTATCAACGAAAAGAAGATTATCATGCATGATTTTTAATCTGTTTAAAAGTTATTATTTATTTTTTATGTTGCGTGATGAATAAATTACAAAGTATTAAGAATTATATTATACGAGGAAGATATTCAATTGGGAGAGCTACACTAAATATACACTAAATATAATGCGCCTTTGAGCGCACCTTGCATACCCTTACAATAGGTTTCTTACTTTAACAGTGGATTACGTTTACTTTAGATGCTCTTAGGCTCCATTTATATGGGACCCTAATAAGTTGCAAGTCCAGTTCGGATACTGTATCTTAGTCATTGACGACGAAGGCATTTCATTTTTTTATGTGAATTTTTGAAATTACTTTAAATATGTAAACATGAAACCGGAATTCGCTCACAGATTGCGCTAACGCAACATGTAGGAGACGTGGACACCTAAAGACGTGTTTTTTATAACTTGGACGTCTGGAAATAATAAGCAATCGCAACAGCAACATATCGCGTGTAAGTAACGGAATCGTGGAAATCGTTTTATGCGAAATGAAGAGCATTCGCCGGAATTTTATCTTTGATCGAACAATGCAAGAGAATGCCTCTTTCGCATCCTATTCTCACTGTAAATGAAAAGAGGCGTAAAAATTTATAGGTAGATCTAAGCATACCATCTATACCGATCACGAGGCAGAATCGTTTTGGCGGAAATATGATAGTCTGTGAAGAGAGTCTGTGGTCTACTGTTAAAATTTGCGGAAAGCGTTAAGCCAAACATATTAGAAAAGACAACGGAAGGTTATTTCTTTGCATCCATCCGAACAACAAAACCGTTTCGCGATACATTGGAAGCATTGCGGCTTATCCACCAAACGAAGCCCTTCCGATTGCCAATTTTATGCATCAGTGGGACGCGAGCTTGCTGAGCACCTCTTCAATTTTTTTGCAAAGGAGCTAAATTGGCTCTATAACAGACTTGCCCCAAAGGAACAGGAGCGGAAAATGGCCACAGCGTCAAACAAAATATTTTTTATTAATTTCAAGCTATAAACGTGTATTTGCTATGAAAAAATTACGGTTTCATATGTACGTGTCTTCCAAAGGAGTGTACATAACCTAAAAATCATAATTTAGTGGCACAATCTTAAACTCATAAGGAGTTGGATAGAAAAGTAAAATCGTAGAGGTTAGTTTTATGTCAGTATTTGTAAGCGGACTGGTCCGTTGTACGTTGTAAACAACTGACAAAATTAATATACCGATTGTTATGGATGTAAATCCGATAATAAATCATAAGCTTTGTTGCACAAAATACTAAAATCAGTTCAAACGTAAAAATAAATTAAAGAAACAATACATGAAGACTTTTACTATTTTCCCAGTATTTTTGTAAATTAATTTCAATTTAAAGTCAGATCTTTTTAAAAATCTATCCGGTCAGTCGCTTAGGTATGCGATCATCACATCATTACGGGTTGTCGGTGGAGGGATAACGGTCGACTTGAAAGTAAAAACATCTATAAAGGCGGAGTGTGGGAAATGACTCCAGTCAAAGTGTTACAAATTACAAAAACAATTGTATATAAAATTTGCAAATCGTTGTCTTCAGAGCCTTCTTTCTCAATCATTTCCTCTTTCACTTAATTCTAATGTTAAAACACTTCTTGGGCTTGGTCCAGAATACTTCACAAACACAGGTCATACTCCACATTGAAGCAATGCAGAGAGGTGGGCAGAAAAATAGATGCCAGGTGTATTCTTCAGTTCTATGCCACAGAAATTGTAAAAAGCCTATACAACGCTTTCACATGTGGCAACACTGATTAAAATTAAATCCGAGAACCGCGTCATCAGTTAGTTGAAGTAGGTCTTGCAGTGAGAAGGTAAAGGCTTTTATTTTGCTTTACTAGCCTCTTGATCTGGACAGTGAGATAGGTACGTCGCCTTTAAAGTTGTGAAAATCAAAGATTTTCAGAAAGTATTGCTGTAAAAGTGGACTATGAAGGCAAATCGTGTTTTGTTGAGAAGGAAATGCAATATGAGTTAATTCCTATAATAATACTGGATGGGTCGAAGAGCCGCATAAGTCACGAAACTTTGTCGCTTTGAACGCTTTAAAACCTAAAGAAAGTATAGAGAGACGCGGAGCAATTAAAAAAACTATTATGCCTTAACTTCAGGAAAGGAAAGAAATTGCCCGAAAATCCAGAGAATCCCATGATATATAAAATTTCGAATGTATGTCCGTCATTTAGAAGCTAAGAAAGCTATATATTCTCTTGTTCTCCTCTCTCTTTCTCTTCCTCCACAATATATCTTGTATTTATCTCGTAATTGCAATTTTGCTTGTGACATAGAAACTGTCTCAGATTTCTCCAGCATTTATAATGGACAGATGCAACGATGGTCTCCTCGTAAGGAATAATTACTTTAAAGCAGAATGTGCACAACGAAATCGATTTACCTCCAACTATCCGTCTCCCTACAATACGTCATAAGATCCCGATTGTGACCCCAAGATCACTTCTACAAGAACCGACTTGATCTCATATTCTTACTAATACTTTTCGCAAGGATATATTTTAAAATGAGTTAGGTGCTCTTATAATTGAAGCTTTTCGTCGTGCTATTAACTTTGAAAGCTTCGGCAGGCGTTTATTTCAAAAATTCTTAGAAATTTTGTTTTGTATCATCAAATATTTTATTATTGTACCCATCGTCGAAGGATGAGAGATAAATTTTTTTTGTCGAAACGTTTGCAACACTAAGGGCAGCGCTTGAAAGACGTCATAAAGTATATTGATTCTTGATCATTGTCAAATTCTAAACCGTTTTGAGCATGTCCGTCTGTCTCCCTGTCTCTCTGTGCAATGGCTGCAGAAAACATTCTTGTGTAGTCGCAAAAATCAAGCCATCGGCTTCACATTTGATCAAAACAGCCGGTTGGTATTGAAAATGGGACAAATTGATCAACGCACACGCCCACAATAAAATGTAAACGGAACACATATTTTTGTATTTTTAACTTTTTTCACGTTTCCAACTTATTACTCATAAGATGAACAATCCAGAATTTTTTGAAAACTGTTTTGTACATTCCTCACCTGAAGATAGATAATCTGTCTTAAAATGTATTAATTCTATAATAAATAAATAATAAATACAGGAATGTAGTGAACGCCGCAAGGTGGAGGAGGAGTCGCTTTTTTTTAGCAATATAATCAATTGTGTATGAAATGAAAGAGGTTGGAGAATGGACTGTGACGTGCTGAGTGTATTAATTCGCGTCGCGACGTGATGGTTTAATTTTTCCCCATAACTGCGTGGACATAGGTATGAAATGCAAGGACTTGGAGATTAGATGTCGATAGGACAACGGTGATGGGTATGAAAGGTTCTTTCTCGGCCGAATCCAATTTTCTCACTTATTGCTATTTAAGGTTATTTCACTTTGTGCTTACTTTCAGGCGGACTCCAAATTTCTACCACAGTTTTTATGATTGCAACTCGGTTTAGTCATCTTTCACTGCTTAAGAATATTTACACTTTAAAGCTTATTGACGTATACGAAGCTTTAATATTTAGTTACTCTCTGGTCATGAAAGTTGTGAGAGGTGATATTTGTGTTAAAGTATACAAATAATAAATCAAGCAATACTTAACAGATGTTTCTTTTAGATTTGAGTCAGAATCGATTAATCAAAAATTCTTACCTTTCAGACCCGAACTTGTATATTTTTGGTTTCAATAATCTCGCAAAATCACTACAATATGCGTGACTATGTATTGTATTTTCGTTGTTTTTTTTTTTTTGTTTGTTGGAATAAAGTCGGCGTAGGTATATTTGTCACGTTACAGTGTATTTCCTTAGCAAAACTTTTCGGAATTTTTTTCTAATTTTGAATTTTTCTATTAGTATTGTTATTAAAAACTTATTCTGTACAAGTTGCAAATTTAATTTAGAAACTAACAAAAAAAAAAAACGAAAAAAATACTTTATGAAAACTGATAATTTTCTAAAGATTGCGTGATTACATTTCCTTTTTTAGTTATTAATCATAACATAACTGTGTGTCACACAAATAATTGTTGTAATGAAAGTTGAATTTTGTAATTTTCATAGTACGCATCAGGGGATAGAGATACATTAGTTTCTTCATTTCGTTTCGTAGTACATGAAAACATACAAATGGAAGATCATGTAACAACCTGAGAAATTCAAGCTTTAATCGCCTTTTGTTGCAATTTTGCAAACTCTACTTACTCGCCTTATCCTTATTTTCGCTCCTCTGGTTCTCAAGGTCTTGTTGAAGTCAAAAGCTCGGACTTGAAATATATATTTTACGAATAAGGTTTCAAAATAGGCCATAGGCGAAGGCGTCCATCACGTATGGGTCAAGGCACTGAGCTCCGAAGCTTCATGTCAGAACAATCTTCCTTTTAAAAAAAGACAAATGTGTTTATTAGCGCCAATGGTTTAAATAACTTATTATATCCTGGTTCACTTTCGATGCTAAGTGCGTATGCAACCTTCTTCCAGAAGGAAGAAAATCTTAATATACATTCACCTTTTACTATACTGATCGAATTCGATTATGATTTGGAATAATTTCCTGAGTCGATCTAAGCTTGCCGCTCCGTCTGTCCTTCTGATGTCTGCTCAGGTCGCAATTTTTGAGGTATTTTGATGAAACCAAAACCACTTCTTCGACAATCCCCATGCAGCGCCTGGTATTGAAAAATTATTTTATGAATAACTGCATTAAACAAAGCGTTGTATGGTATTTAATGACAGGCCGTGACCGGCTCTCTGGCTCTACTTGTTGTTAACCGGAGTGTAGCTCTTAGTTTAGTACATCTATTGTTTTCATTATTTCATTTGCTTATTCAAACAAGGTTAGTAATTTCGAGTCGATGGGTATAATAAATGATGGGTCTATCTCAAGTCCTCCCAGATGTTCTACACATCCCAAAAAACTTAACACACATTTTATCACAAGTGATGTAACCTACAATAATTGTATCCACCGCAAATGGATGGGGAAACTTCAGACACCTAACAAATCATATATATTTTTAATCAGAATTGAATTTTGAATCGATTTAAGCGTGTCTGTCTGTCCGTCCACTCGTGTAATAAAGGTTTTAAATATTTTCCTAATCGCAAAAAGGAAGATGTTGCATACTAGTTAGCAAAAGAATTTGAAAGTGATCTGAACCGATGAAAGGATACACGTACAATACAAGAAAAACTGAGAACATTTTTGCTTGCTATGTTTCTCGATCGTTACTCATAAACTGCACTACACCCGCGATAAGAAATCTCCACGGTGATTCTTCGAAAATAGAAAAAATCAGCCACGCCCATGCTATGTCAGGGAGTATGGATGTTTAGTTTTTTCTTTTTTTTTTTTTTGGTTTAGTCCCTTTTAGAGTAACCGTGGTGCGTAGAAAATATTTGATCGCGACCAAATATGATTTTCTTATTGTGTCAAGCAGACAAAAATTGACAGTGAAGTCATGTGAAGTTCTTTATACCATATTGATGCATTGATAGTAGTGTGCTTGGAGACGTCATGTGCAATTGGCCAACCGCTCTTTTCTACCAAATTTCACTTAATTTTTTGTTTAAGTGTAAATAAAACTTAATTACTTCCCACATCGAATGTTGTTGTTCATGAATTATTATTATTTTTGTTTTTTTTTTGTTCTCCTATACGAGTTCATTTAAAGTTACGTTCGCGTCCTTACTATGTTTATTGATAAATTTGTAGAAATGAGACTCAATACGATGCCTTCGAATAGGTTTTGCCGAGCAATTCGTTTTCTAATCTCTTGTTGTTTTCCTAAACATGTTTTATTTACTCGCTTTCCTTCACAAGTTTACGTTACCTTTTTTTTTTTTTTTTTTTTTTTTTTTTGCTTATTATTATCAAGCTCATATTGGCCGTTAAGGTAGCGCAAACAAATGCATAATGTTAATAATATATTTTTTTATTACTAATTGCTTTCAGCCCCTTTCTTTCGTTTTTTTTTTATATCTATCAAGTCATGACACACGACATGTTCAGAAAATTTAGCAAATAAAAAAAAAAAAAAAAAGAAAACAAATAATTTCACGTAACAGCAGTAGAACATAAGTGTCAGTGCCCTCTAGAAAACCGTCAATAAAATATTGGCAGAGTGAATCTCGTCCCAAGTGCGGAAACTGCGTTCGACCAACGATGCTGTAAAGATTTTCGTTAACATTAAAATTTATTATCTCCTGAGAGATTAAAAAAAGCACTATCGCCCGCTTTAAGTTCATGTAAAATTTATTTTATTATGTACGTCTAATAAATACATTATTTTATAAGGATTATTATAGATAAAATAATTTTCTAGATAAGATTTTTCGAAATATTTTTTAATTTTTTCGTTTACTCATAGGTAAGTAGTTAATCTTATTATGATTCTATTGGCTTCCCATTTCAAACATGTACGTGTGTATGTATGTATATAAGTAAATACTTGCACACATTTGAGAGATGAAACGCAATACTAGTCATCGTTGCTTTACTGCGAAATGAATTTTAAAAAACTATATATTTTTAGACATTTTTTAAGGAGATTATTAGAGTTTTTTATACCCTATGGAGAGCCAAAAGCAGTACTTTTTTTGGATCAATAGAATGTGCAGCACATTCACAATTTATGATTAAAATAGAAAGTTAAAGTTGAAGCAATTCCTCTTAATATCCAATTATTGCAAGGGAATCGTCATCGGATCGGCGGCCTTTAGACGGTTTTTGAAACGCTTAAACACTCGCTAAAGTATCTTTCTCGAGCGACATTTAAAAGCTGAGCAACTTAGTACGCCTTTTAGATCGCTGTAAGCCGAATAAATGTAAAAATAGCTTCCAAAATACGCTGTAGTTATTTACATATACCGTTAGTGATAAGCTTAAGTAAAATTTGAATGATAAAAACTTTATTCTTCGTTTTTTTTTTTTTTTTTTTTTTTTTTTCATATTCAAATCAAGAAAAAACTGCTGTAAAGATTATTAGAAAAGACAAAAAGTGTGAATGAGCTTAAAACAAAGCGTTTGCACCTCTAGGCAAAACAGTTAACTTTCGGGAAAGATACGCTTAACGTCGTCGTGATATATGGATTTGAAAAATAATAATAACAATAATAATAAAAAATTAAAATAAAAAAAAAAAAAATAAAAAAAAAAATTATAAAGAAGGTATCTTTGAAAAGTCTGAAATTAATTCTGCTGAGCATATTGCGCCTGAAATGGATTTTGAACGAGTCTTGGAAAAGTGTGGTAATTTCGGACGCTACCAGATAATATTGCTTTTAATTTTCGGCTACACCAACATGATGTCATCGATGCATTACTTTTCTCAAACTCTTATCAGTTTTACACCGAATCATTGGTGTTACCATGAAAAGCTGGCTAATCTCAGTTACGAACATATAAGTTTGTTCTACAAGAATTTAAATAACCCGAAATGCACTTTACTGGACGATATAGTGAACGATACTAATCCGGTGGTCGCTAAGGTGGGAGAGTGCAATGAATGGTTTTATGAACGGGAACAAGGCTACGAAAGTATAACATCCGAGGTAAGGTTTTCTTTTGCACTTACACATCGCATTTTATCTGCAGCCTAATAGTGAGCTTTGATTTTCTTAGTTAAATTGGGTTTGCGATCGTGCTTACCAATCAGCGGTGGGCAAATCATTTTTCTATGTCGGCTCCGTAGTCGGAACTATATTGTTTGGTATACTCGCTGATAAATATGGCCGCGTTCCCGCCATCATCTTAACTACTTTATCGGGTGGCTTAGGAGATTTTATGACCGCTTTCGTTAACGACTTGCCTGCTTTTATAGTGGCTCGTTTTATTTCGGGTCTTTCTAACGATACTTTTTTTATGCTAATGTTTATCTTGGGTATGTTTTCGAAAGCTTTCTTTGTTTTTAATAATTTTCTTTTTAAATTTTCCTCTCTTCTTTTTAGTTTTTGAATATTTAAAGCCGGAAAAGCGTACTTTCGGCTTAAACATTATCACGGCTACGTTTTATTGTGCCGGTCTTATGTTATCGCCCTGGTTTGCTATATGGGTGGGCTCATGGCGCAAATATTTGATTTTAGTTTCCACTCCCGTTCTGCTAGTCTTAGTTTATCCTTTGGTCGTTTGCGAAAGTGCCCGCTGGTTACTGACACAGCAGAATTATAGTAAAGCTGTCGAGTGTCTAAAATATGTAGCAAAAATTAATAAGCGCAAGGTGGACGAGTCCGTCTTTGATGAGTTTGTTGAGTTCTATAAGCAAAAATTAATTGAAGAACAGAAATTAGATGCAAACAAAGATACATTCCTTGGCATGTTCAGTAGTCCCAGATTAAGAAAATTTACCATCATTTTGCTGGTTAAAAGGTGAACTAAACATTTATATATTAAATGTACTCATTAATTTTTTCTTTGTTTTTTCTCCTCAGTGTTATCATTACGATGGCCTACGATATAGCCAGTCGTAATATGGAGGGTTTAGGTTCCTCGCCGTTCGCTTTGTTTTCGTACTCCTCTATTTGCTATATACCCGGCGGACTAACGATTATTCTTTTCCAAAATGTTATAGGGCGTAAGGGCATGGCTTGTAGTTCTCTTTTTGTGGGCGGCTTACTAACCGCTGTCACGGGATTTCTCATTGCCGTTTTGGATCGGCAAACTTATGCCTTGTTGTTGGCCATTATGGTGGCACTGGGTCGCTACGGTGCCATTGTCGCCTATGATGCTGAAGCTCAATACGCTACTGAGATAATACCTACTAGTGTAAGAGGTCGCGGAGTTTCCAACATTCACGTGGTTGGCTATGCTTGCAGTTTTCTCAATGCCTATGTTATATATTTAGGTAACTTTTATAAGCCTTTACCTTCGCTGTTCATAAGTTTTATTATGTTAGTGGGTGCCGGCTTATGTTTGGCATTACCTGAAACACATGGCAAGTAAGTGTTTTAGCCTCTTTTTTGTCTTATATTGACAAAGATTTTAATTTATGTCGTGATTTTTGTTTTAAGAAAACTTCCCGAATCTTTAAGTGAAGGTGAAGTATTCGGCCTTAACGAAGACTGGTATTACTTTCCCTGTTTTGAGCGTAAACGAAGAAATTCAAAAATCTCCGGCAATGTTGGCAATGAATCGAAGACTTAATAATTTTTTACTTTGTTTTTTTTTTCCGCTTTATTCCAAAAAGTAAAAAGTTAAGATAAGTTTTATGACTCATTTATATTTATACAATTTAGTTTAAATTACTTTAATATAGTATTAAATTGTATACCGAGTAAACGCATTACGTCTATGAGAGATATTGTCGTTGCTTGACAAGATTAGATGATAAAGTACAAAAAAAGTACTTACAAGAAGACTTGCTTAAGTTAAGTTAATTTAGATGACAGCTGAATCGAAACTTGCTTACGTAATAAGTTTTTTTTTTTTTGTTTACAGTAAAAATAAATAAAATATTTTGCTATTATTTCTTCTTTTCCTGCCCCGTTTACAAAATTGGTTCAAAGCCATCCTGGATGGCGAAATCTATTTTCTCTTAGTCAATTCGAAAATTTTCTAAGGCATAATTATCGATTTGACATTGGGACGAGAAGAGAGAAACAAAGTTGTATTAATTTTGAACGCCCTTGTTCTACTCTATGGACCAGCAAGAAGCATGTCATAATCGACCTATTGAATAGTACTGGAATAATACGCAAATGTGTAGCGCTCATAGTGGACTTGGCCTAAAGCATTTTTCTAGTTCTTTGCCGTCTTTTTCCAAACTAAGCTTCTCTCGATTAATAGTTTCCTCATATTGTATTCCCAATAACCATGACTTCTACTGGGAGCTTTGAAGAAGTGAATTTGACCAGCGACTCTTAACATGTACTATTACGCTTACATGGCGTGAAAGAGAGAGGGCCAAGCAAGCGACAAGCTGAGCATGCTAAAGGGAACTATTATTAAAAACAACCGATTTCCTCTTGCCTCACGTCACATTGCATGGCAGCGAACTTAATTACAAATTTCACTCATTTGGATAAGGCGTCTTTTCCAAATGCTCTCTGTCATCGTAAACACCTTTAATCAAACTAAATTATTACTTCTTCTTATATCATTTATAAATTCATTTTATTGTGAATTTAATACTATTTTCATATTTCGCTTAGCAATTGTAATTAGTAATAAAATTAGTTTTCAAAAATTCACGTACAATAAAAACTTATGTTTATATTAAAAAGATCCCTAAGCTAATTAATTGATTTAAGTAAACTAAAAGTAATTGGCTTAGCTGAGCCTTACTATACTAAAAACATTGTTGAAATGAAAAGAAAAAACAAATATTGGAGTACGAAAACGGATAATTGTTTACTTGTTCTACATATTATTATAAACTTAGCTAAGTGGTTTCTATAAAACGTTAATTACTACGTTTGCTTATTAATTCCCTAAAATTTTACGTATAACTGTTGCGATTTGCATCAGTTTCATGATTGCATTCTAAACCTATTGTCAGAGATTGATTGCGTTTGCGTTTGCTGTAAGGTTCCTGTTCGGAATTTTTGTCTTCAGACTTTTTATTTTGTTGCGATAAGCAAGGGAAGTCAAACATACGTTCGCCCTTGCCAAAGACTTCACCTTCTTCTATGGTCTTGGGAAGCGTCCTAAAAGTAAAAATAAAATGAGAAAATTACAAATTCCTTCACACAACATGCCCCCGCATACTTGTTTAGCGTCTCTGGTAGTAATAGGCATACGAAGGAACCACTGAAAAACAGCACACCCAATATGAGAGAAGGAGCTGCCTTGAAGAATGTGCCCAACCACAATATGTAGGGAGCTAGAAAGGAAGCAGCAAATCCGGCTACATGGACGGCCGCCACCCCTTGACCTCTTACGCAAGTCGGTATTAGCTCCGTCGCGTATTGCGAACCAGATTCATAGGAGATAGCTACACCGAAACGAGCGGCTACGGTAAGACAAGCTAAAAGAACGGCATTGTGATTGTGCTGTTGATAAGCAATGGCTATGCCAGCAGCCACTGTAAAGAAACCTCCAACCAATAAAGAACCAGATGCCATGCCTTTACGTCCTATACGGTCCTGCAGCAAAACGAGCATTAAACTGGACGGTAACACCACCAAAGCACTCAAGGAAAACATAACGAACGGCGATATGCCCATACCCTCCACATTACGTGATACCACATCGTAACACAAAGTGATGACCATACTAGAAAATTAAAGCAGGTGCAAATATTTCTATGAATACCTAAAGAGTATAAATCTGCCATACTCACGATTTGAAAAACAGTATCAGTGTATGTTTGCGCATGCGAGGTGTACGAAACATATCGATCAGTGATGAATGCTTCTGGTCATCTCCACCGTGCTTTTCCCGTTGTTTCTGACAATATTTACGGAATTCATCGAACTCAGCTTGAGTCACATGCCTGCCGTTAAACTTTGCAACTCGTTTCAGTCGCTTGATAGCACCATCAACGTCATTACGTGTCACCAACCATTGGGCACTTTCCTGTATCACAAAATAGAACAGAATAATGAGGAGAAGTGGTAAAGACGTGCTGGCTAAATAGTATTGCCAGTGTCCAGTTAAAACTGCCAACCAAGGTGTAAACACTAAACCGAGGGTATAAAACACGCCTACAGCTATATTTAGACCCAAAGTTCGCATTGTGGGACGCATGTACTCGAGAACTGCAAAAAAAGCAAGGAAAGCAAAACAAAAATGGGTAAATTTAATCCGAAGTTCGATTGAAAGCATTTGTTTTCCTGCTTTCCCTCTTCTGAGTTCATTCACAATTGCACTTACCTATAATGTACATCAAGTAGAAGTTTGTATCTGCAGCCAAGCCCGATATAAATCGGCACAGGGTAAAAGTGGTGACTTGTTTCGTAAATATTGTAGAAAAGTCTCCAACAAAACCCGAAAAGTTTGATAGAATCAAAGCAGGCAGCCGACCAATTTTATCCGACAGCAAGCCGTAAAACAAGGTGCCAACTACTGAACCAATGAAAAATAAGGATTGACCTATAGTTGATTTATACGAGGCGTCACAAACCCAGTTTAACTACAAGGGGAGATAAAGTGTAATTGAAACAAAAATAATTGAAGAGAAATCACATAACATCTCCTTACCTCAGTATTCATGGATCTGTAACCAAAGTCATATTTATAAATCCATTTGGAACATTTCTCAGTGCTGGCAGTAGCGTTCAAACCGTTGACGTCTGAGAGGAGCGTACACGAAGGATTTGGAAATTTGGAATAGATAGCAGCTATCTCATCATAAGAACGATTTTCCAACTTCTCGTGATAGCACCAATGATCGGGTACAAAACTTATCACAGTTTGAGTAAAGTAATGCATGGATACCATGATGTTGACAAGCCCAAAAAGAGCTAATATTAAGAGTTGATAACGATTGAAATCACCACATTTTCCCAAAATTTTATCGAAATCCATAGTCGGGAGAGGTTCAGGCATGTGTATATATAAAAGTTGTTTCTCTTCTTTTTTTTTGCAATGGATTGTGAAGTTTCAGTGATTAATATGGATATCACAAGGTGGTATAAGGCAAAGCTTTGGTTGCATCAGATCATGATGTTTTATATTTTTCATGGAGCTGAAATTAAAATTCAATCAAGCGACTTATTGGTAGTGAACAAAAAATATTGTAAATATATAACACTGTGATCAAAAAGTAAGACCAATAGTCAATAGTTGCGCGGGAGATGATTTTTGACTATTAGTCGGTCTCGAAACATACTATTACGGGAGAGGATAGTTCGAACTAGGCATATCGCGCGAATACAACCGAACACTCGGGCGAATATCGTGCAAAAGGTAAGCGAAGACTCTAAAATCTTCTTCGATTATCGGGCTGTTGAAGTGTGTATGAATTCCTTGCGTCGGGCCAAACTGTTAACAAGGAATATTATTTGAATTTGCGGCGTGAAATTAAATTCGGTTTACTTTCTGAACACAGTGGTATTCTAGAAAATTGATTATCTCTGTGTTTCGCGCATGAAAGCAGAAATAGACTTTTGTAATTAAGTTGTTGCAATAGCTCGGGATTCTATGGCAACCTTACCCTTCCTGAGTTGTAATTTAGCTGGCAAGGAGTCTCGACTCACATAGCAGTTATTCCGGCTCGTCTGTCGTCTTTAATTAAAAGATTTCTTCTTGAATATCTTGGGAACCAATAATTTTTCTCTTTTTTTTTGTTGCTTTTTTCTGTTTGCTTGATCCTTTCTTATAAATCTCAAAGATCGTAAATGTGCTTGTATCTTTTCCTTCACAAAAATAAGTTCCCGAGTTAAGTTCTAAAGCTCAGTATGCGAGTTATTTTTGCCTCTCCTCCCCCAGGGAGAAATATTAGGCTTTGTCAAGGCTTACAAAGAAAGCTGCCTGGTTACGCTCAGACTTCCGTTAGCAAGATATGTGCACACGATGCGTATTTACTTTATTATAAGACAACATGTGCGCCTATCCCTTATATGTTGTTGTGGCTTAAGCAAGGCGAGTTTTTAAAAAATAAATCTCGTTCCTTCAAGCAACATGATCGCCTACTTACAATTACTACCTTCGCTTTTTTACTGCTATTCGCCGAGTTTTCTTAGTTATGTTATAAAATGCTTTTTATTTGCAATAACATATAATTAGTTTTTGCACTCAAAAACTCTTAAGATCAGAATAATTATACTTTAAAAAACATTTTTTAAGGTAACAATAAATTGTTTGCAATGCGCGACAATATTTGCGAAAGGCACTATTTTAAACGTTCGGACTAAAAGACTAAGAAAAAACATATGAATGAATGAGAATGCTTTCTAAGCAACATTTACACAGCTCTATTAGGTAGGAAAAGAAATTGCGACACCCTATTGTCGTGCGAATCGTACAATTAATTGAACGTGAAAATTGAAGGGAACGAACTGTGCGAGGCCTTGGCACATATTCAGCACGGATATCAAACGGGGAAAATAAATGTTTTTTTTTTTCAAAATTTTAATATTTACAAAAACTAGAGATAGTGCTTAACCCGCGCAGCTGGGGGCACCTTTTAAATAATGAAATATTTTATGAGTTTTCAGTAACATTTTTTCACAATTTTTTTTTCTTTCTTTTTTACGTCTTTAACTGTAAGAAGCTTGACTGCATTTCAAAGTCACGAATTCTCTTGATAACAAACGTATTATTGCGATTTGAAAAGTTGAGGCCGTTAACTTGTCTTTTAAAAACTCGCATATTACTATAAGGTGAACTTGCCGCAACTTACTATATGCGCTTTATATCGTACTTCCCTCACTTACTCTAATATTTTCAAACTATTTTTCTCTTTTGTTTTTTGTTCTTCTTTTCCTTATTTCAGGCGCAAAATTTAATCTCAATTTCCAATTAAAAATTGAGAAATGAGATGTGGAAAACATCTGTGATTTTAAGATATTGTCGCCTATAGAGGTAAGTGGTTTACACGATAGCTTGCGCGATCAGACTTTTACAAAGTGAACCAAATTTTTTTTTCCACCAATAAAATGTTAAATTCTCATTAAAAGTACATTTTTTCTTTGTCGCATTGTAAATGTTTAGCTACTACTACTACTACTTTTGAAACGAGGGCATATTAAGTTAAGTGCAGTTGTGTATAGCAACCAAAAGTACTTGAGTGAGATCTATCTTTTCTTATACCGGTGAATTCCGAACCACTTTCCAGATCGACCTAAGCTTGTCTGTCCGTCCGTCCATCTGATACGCGTCCATGTATATTAAGCCAAGTACTATGAATATTCAATGGCAAGTCGTGCCCTTTATTAGACTGCTTTCATTTTCCTTTTTCCTTCATGTTTCCTATAAGTCTTTAAGTGAACTAAAGCAATACGATAGTTACTTTAATGGCAAATCTCTTGCTTTTTGAAATTTAGCTTCAATTCCTAGTAATTTGTTCACGAACGGATCACTCATCCGTTCGATGAGTTATTCGAAATTCGAAAAACTAACTTCGAAAACCAACTTCTTTGTTAATCTTCGTGAACTAAATTTGGAAAGTCTTCAGGGTCATGAGAAATATCTGTCTTTTAGGTTTTTTGCAATTATTGCAACAAACGATTGTTTCCTTTAGTTCTGCTTACGAATCGAGTCTTCGTAATAAACATTAACTTCAAAGCTAACGCTTTCGTTTAACTTCGTCGGGGACGAAATTTTTCATTTTTTTTTTTGCTATATTTTAACCACACTCCACAGCAATTGAAAAAAAAAACTTTTAGCAATAGACGTTTAAAACCTTACACTCTTGTATAGACAGTGTTTGGTAGTGATTCGAATTAAACGTAACAAAGCGTATTTTTCTGAGGACTGAACAAAGACAGTGTGAAACAATTTATTTTGAACGCATTCGCAACCGTGTATGCCCGATAATAATGGAAAATGCTTTTCCGATATATGTGTGGTTCAAACTGACTTGATCGATCAAAAGAGGTTGCGGCAATTACGAGAGCTCTGTCATCTTTGAATCCAAAACAATTGCATTCCAAGCAACATCTCGACGGGATTTGGTGAACAAAGTGATTGTGCCTTTACGTAAACCAGTTTTGCGCCTAAGTGTTTAAACGCATAGTTCACGACTCGACTTACCCGAGAGCGATTTTAAGGCATTTCAGTTACGTCTTGGACTTGACATTTTTTTTACGCAAGCAAACTATTACCCAGGAATTCATAGCTTCCGGAACGTTCCTCTGCTTCTTATCCATGACATTAGCTACGAACGCAATGGTCAAAAAAAAAAATAAAAAATCTCACTGAGTGCGGTTTACCATTGGGGGGAGATAACAGTATTACGCATCTACGACAGAATTCCTTATGTTGCAAGTTGTCACAAAATCATTTCTTATTTATTTCTATCAATCTTTCCTTTTATTTCTGTGCTTACGACCGTGAATGCGATAAGGCATGTCTTGCACTTCTTATTACCCGCTTTTCTTTACCTTCCTTTGCTTCATTTGAATTAGCGCGAGGGGAAGCGGATTCACTTAAAGAAACTTATCCAATGTTTTATTTTAAAATTTTTTGTTTATTAATTAATTTTTAAGTTTTAACTAATTTTTTTTAATTACTACAATGAAAATTTCATTTAAAAATTGAACAAAACTTTGTTATTAAACGGTTCATATCGAATGATGCCGTTTTTAAACTAGAAACACTAGCAGCTGATGACATTAATTGTTTGTAACGCGCTCTGCCATAAGTTGTAGATAAAATTAACAACAAATTTTCAAATGTTTTTCTTGCTTCTTATTTCCTTTTCATCTAAGAGCATTATTCTTTTCTAGCAGCGTTGGGCGGTCGAAACGCCGCGAGCATGCACACATGTGTATGTAATAGAATATATGCGAAAGGAAAATAATTTTAAAAAGTTGTCAATTAATTATATTTTTTTTTTTCTGCTTTTGTTTATTGAACGTCATTACTTACACATTTATTTATAAATTTGGCAACAATTTAAAATTTAAATATTTTTAGCTAAAACGTTTATATTGTTGCGCGATGGAAAATTACATAAAATTTGGTGAAATGAATGTGCGTTCATTCTCCTTCAAAAAAAAAGTGCTGAGGACTTTAAAGTAATTTTCATATTCAAATTTTTGCTTTATTTTATATATCACTACTATTTGATCCACTAGTTTTTGTCAAAAAAAAAAAAGAAGAAAAATATATCATAAATTTATTTCCAATTTCTTGTTCTCCCTTTCGCGGCGTGTCGACATCACAAGTAAGTTGGTTTATGAACAACTAAACGTGATGCTACGAACCTCTTAATAGTAGTGGTGTCCCTGACTTTGAATTTCCTAACAAAACTTGCATACAAAGCAAAAAGAGAGACCGAAAAATTGAAAATTTCATTCTGCACTCTCTCTCCCACTCTCTCTAAACAACACACGAGCCGAATGCAATGTTCTTTCATATAGGAAAACGTGCACATGCTTCTTACTCTCATTTAAATTTTGGTTTGCTTTTTGTTTTTCTTTGTTTCTGCAACGCAGCTAAATTCTTTGTTTTCAATATATCTGCTCCCCCCCGTGGACAAAATTTAAAAAAAAATAAATAAATAAATAATTTATATTTTTTATTAAAATCTGAATTAGGGAAACTAATCATTATACAGATGAGAAGATAAACGATAGCTTCACAAACCGACTTCGCATTGTTATCATTTAAAGGATATCCTGTATTTATGTACACCTTCATACCCTACCTAAATGGTAGCACAATTGTATGTTAAGTTTGGGCGGACGTATGCAATATTCAAGAGGACTTGAGATAGATCCATCTTTTGTTGTGAATTGATCTGAGCTTGTCTGCCCGTCCGTCCGTCCGTTTTGTTTGCCTGTGTTCAGTCTACAGAAGAATGGGTCGGACCGATAACGCCTTACTTCGAAAATTCGATATATGAAAAACTATAGGGTGGTGTACGGTATGTAAAGTAGACCGTGCCACACCATAGGATTTTTACTTATTTGGAGACTAAATAATTATTTTTAAATGCATCAGAAATTTTCGAGTCCAGTGGAAGTTCCGCAACCTACAAAAACGACATTAAGACTTCACTTTTATACCTGCCACATAGTCTCTCTGCCAAATGGTTCGGAACACCCAGGAGACTAGTTTCAGGGACCACACAAAGTATATACAAGCTTGATTAACGTCGTCAAATTTCGTCTATGTAATGTTCGTTATGAACGCTCTGCAGATCGACAATTTGGCAAAAAAGCTAGACATTCTTGCACGCAGCTTATGACAAACAAATTCTATATCTATTTACGAATGTCCGTCTCTACGTCTCTCCTCTTAATGGCTGTCGAAAACATTCTACTGTCCGCAAGAAAGGAGCTACGGACTTCAAAGTTCTTGCATGCAGGTTTGTATTGAGAACAGGCTAAATCGGTCACATGGCACGGCCACATTACCGGGCAAACCGACACCAGTTGTTTTCAAAAGAAAGGAAAATGAGTTTGTTAATGGCTTAGATACTACAACACATCTAACGATAAAAATGTTCACGTATAACCAATGGGTAATGCAGGGCTCGTATAAAAATTGAAGAATAGGCCACACTCAGCCAATATTATAAAGCAACAAAATATTATTCATTTATAAGTTCATATAAAACCGGTGGATGTAAAAAGTTCATCCCTAGCCGAATATAATTTTCTTACTTCTCTCAATTTACGGGCCACGACTTGTAGAATGCGTAAAATGCACCGTTACACCATTTTAAGAAATCTGAACGAAAATAAATCCTAGAGAAAAAGTGAAAAACATTCGAGGAAATGGTGTAGCGCCCCTCACATCTATTAAAAAAAAATAAATAAATAAATAAATTTAAAGCAAACCATAAAATAATACCAAATTTTCGCATTAAAATTGAACTTGAAAATAGCAAAAATTGCAAATATAACGAATTTGTTGACGTTTTCGAAAAAAGAAAAAATGCCTATGTAGCGTTACAGTGACATGAAATAAATTAAACAAAATGTAAAAGAAACAAAGCACTTTTAAAATTTTGAGGAAAATATGCAAAGTTCTTTATAAAACATAATGCGTTTGTGTATAAATGTGCTGAACGTGTGAACGAAGGTCATTTGTTCAATCAAGCTAAGGAACTGTTATTAATGACCGTTGAAACTTAATGGCGTGGCTTAGTCGCACAACAGGTCTTTTTGCACCCACTCTGCCAGCCTTTGGAACAACCTGCCCGCATTCGCTGCAGCTGGTCGATCCATTTTCACGAACACTGCTCCCTCTCTCTCTATCCTTACCTTCCTATAACCCAACCTGAACAACCCCATAGGGGACATCTCCCGAGTGGCTGTTGGTAAAACCAAGTGGTCCCGTTTCTTTTGCACGTACTTTCCCAAAAATATTTCTTTTTTTTTGAAAACAAGTTATTCTTTAAACTTGAAACTTAAACTTGAAAGCGTGCCTTTACCCGATTAACTGTCAGATTCCTAAGGGTCTATTTAATTCTTGTATCAGCGTAAGTTTTTCGCTCTGTATGGTATGTGCACGCGAACTTTCTTAATACTTATCCTTGGGCTTAATATAAATCGTGCACACGCTTATAAAAACATAAAATTTACGATTTAACTGTCATGCACAGCATATTTCATAATGAAGCAAAAAAATACCAGAAGCGTTACATGCAGGCATGACATAGAATAGGAAAACAGCTCGTGTGTGTCATTAAAGCGCGTCAGTAATGTTTTCCCCATCCATCCAGAAAAGCACAAACTTTATTTACGGCTTTATATCGATTAAACAAATCACGTGGACTATGCTTTTTTCATGCAATACACGAATTATGACATTGCAGACTTCTCTAGACCATGGCTCGTGGCTCATTGGAGAAAAAAAAAATATCACTAGCCAATGCAGCGGAAAACTTGTGGTATAAGATTTATTAAGTTTGTGCGGACGTTCGTAACACCCAGAAGGGCTTGACATAGACCCACCTTGTTTTTGTGCCGTTCAATTCAGAATCATTTTCTGAATCCACGCGTGTTTTTCCATCAGCCCGTATTTATATGCTCTTTAATCCATGGTAGCAGTTTAGCTATGAAATTAAGAGTGGAGAATATGGAATACATGAGTGGCCTTATGCCTTAGACCTTGCCGAATATAGAGAGGTTCTTATGAAAGGCAAACTCTTATGTGGTGAGAAAGTCCAATTTCCGTTTTTTTATGACGCAAAATGGAAAATAATTTAATTTTGCTAAACTTGAATCATGTTAGTGATGTTTGGGGCGCCTTCCCTTGATGGAAAGTACACCTTAGCCTGGAGACAATATTAATGGTAATTTTCGCGTTCCAAAACGGGCGAATAACTGAGCTACGCGAAGTGATGTAGGATATCTAACGATCGGCTTTGCTACGCCGCATGACTTTTTTAGGACAAAGATAGTATCGGATCCAAGAAAGCTCTGTGCGTATCAACATGCGGCGGAACGCATTCTTAACACTAAAAAGTCCGAAACAAAAGCAGTCATCTTGACTGGCAAGATGGTACAACACATACATTTTTGAGTAAAAAAGAGGAAGCGAATGTAAATAGAACCATAATAATAATAATAAATGCAATTAAGTCAGGTGTTAACCGAATTCATGGTGCGTTCTTCTCGCCGTTACAAAACAAAGTGAATTCTCAGTCTTAGAAAAATGGAACAAAAATACATTCTTGCCTTTAATTTGCTCAGAATTCTTTCTCCGGATCAAGATGAAATAGTTTTTAATTCATTAAGTCACTGCATTCAAAATGCATAAATATATATATGCATACATATATATATATATATATATATATATATATTTTTTGGGTTCTGACGAAAGGTAGGAGGTGTGATTGTATACAAACTTTTATTGTAAATATTGGCGCAATTTCAATGGCCAAGCGGAGAGCGTGAGTGCACGCACGGGTAAACAAAACGCAAAACTCTCGGAAATTCTTCTTAATGGTGAACAAAAGATTGTTTTACATAAATTATGAAATTTTGAAAACTTGTAAATAATTCTTACTTTTACTTTTCAATGTCTTCGTCATTACATTTAGTTTTCCTTTTTTCCTCTTTTTTTTTGTAATTTTTGGTTTCCTTTAAATTATGTTTAATTTACTACTCCTTAATAGGAATTCTTTTTCTTTGACGTTCATATGTTCTTTCCAGTCATTTTAATTTTTTTTTTTTTTTTAATTGTTAATAATCGCTATAAGTCCGATATAAAATTTAAACTGAAAATATTTTCAGACTATTTTCATAGAGACATAAAATGAGATTCGTATCCAAGCAATAACGGGAAATTTAAAACTCAGCTGTTTTGTGTGTGTGCGCGTCACTGTTTATCGCGTGTGTAATTTATCAATTGTTAAATCGCTTGAGAAAACGTGGAGTAAAAATTCATAAGGATTTCTATAGCAAAACTCATAATATATTGTTTTCCTTATGACGTCACTTGAGAAAGCAAAACGTGGGAAAACGTGAAAACTTTACTCTCTGCACTCATATTCTCCCCCCTCCGTTAATTATATGGTATTTTTTTGGCGTTACCGGTGCAAAACATCTCTTCATTCCACGCAAGTACTATTTGGAGATTTCTTCATGATGTAAGTTTGCTGCTCCTCTCTTTTAAATGGCTCTGTAAATATTTTCGATTGTTTATGAAACGTTTCACGATATATGGCAAAATAAAAAGAAAGGCAAACGTTGAATGGTTCGACTACGTGTGACTTTGTATTTCAATTATCATAAGTCTGCTAATTAAATAGTGTTTAGAATTCGTATTTCTTTTTTATTAGAGCACTAAGTCCCACAAGAGCTAATGAAAAAATTTGAAAAATGCTCTTTTAATATATATATACACACACACACACACACACACACACACACACACATCGTCCAGATTGAGTCGCTTCTCTTCACATTTTTTTGAATGCATCTTAATGTCTCTTTTTGAATATTTGGATTATTTGGTCGAAACAAATGAAAAACCCTTTTGGCTTGGGTTTTTTCAGTTACAATTCATTTATTGGTTTATTTATGGGAAGTGTGTAGAAAGGAGAACAAGGTTTTGTTCTGATAGCTGTTAGCATTAGCATATATCACAACCCTATTTAGCTAGTACAACGTCGTTATAAGTACAAATATTTTTTTTATATTTTAAAATTTCACAAAAAAATTGTTCTCGATCCTTTGGATCGGATAGGCCAGTTTTTTGAAACCCCTGCCAAATAACTGTTCCAATGGTGACCAAATCTTTTGGTGGTAGAGAAGACTAGTATTCAATACTTCTTGATGGAAATTCGCTCATAATAATAACATGACCTTGAAGAATTATTCTTACCGAAGAGGTAGGTCTATTTTCAACCCATACAAGGTTTTTCATGAAAAATAAGGCTTTGCCTGGAAAATTGTGAGGGGAGTTTGGAAGACGTAGATCTATTTTTTAGACCGCACCTATCACAAGGGATGTATGGCACACAGTCAATAACTAATAATAACTGTTAGATCTAAGAAAGAATATATGTATATAAGTTGCTGGAGATATAGGTTTTGAGCCCACAGGCTCCTCTACAACTGCTTTCAGCAAAGCAAAAAAGAAAAAGTCTTTCAGTTGACTTAAGCGCGTCTTGACCGAAAAACGGTGATCCACACACGTTTGGATTCTTTTGCTTATGAAAGCAATCTTATGTTTCCGAAAATGATCCATAGTCTAATCGAAATTGTAATTCCGTGTTCGTATAAACGATGTACAAGATAGATAGATGCCAGCACAATTTAATTGTTTGTTTTCCCGGTTAAGCACTTTTCTGTGAATATTTCCAACTGATCGAATAACGTATTTTTGATAAATCAACTTTTTGCTAACTTGCATTTTTTTTATCTGCGTTATTCCTATTGATGAGAATCATCAGAACTGATAAAAATACTCTTTTCTTATTGCAATAGTATATAAGGAATGGTAGTATTGTAAATAAACATCGGGAAATTCCCAAATTTTGAATTGTTTTTTGTTCGTCCTCGCTCACGATGTAGTGGTTAAAGTGCCAGAATATTTTTCAGCATTGGCTAAAGTGTTTTTACTGCGCAATCAACTAAAGAAAAAATTAATTCCTCAAGTTCCGTTGCGTATTACTTCACTTTTGAATCGGACCATATTTAACGACCCTGACAAATATCTGAGCCGAAAATTTTTCGATAACATCTCTGCGATATGGTAAAGTGTTGAGAAAAATAATGTAAAATTTTTGTTTTTTTGCCTTATTGCCTATGATGGGCACGCCGCGCGCGCTTGTTGATCTCTAACATAATCCTCTAGGGGGATGCGGACTTGCAGTGCTTATTCTTAAGTTTTTGTCCCGAAAGTGTAGTGCGATCTTCACCCTTTTACAATGGAGATTGTTATGAAACACATTATCTTTGTGAATATATTTTTTATTAAATAAATATATCAATTATATTTTATACAGTAAAAGGTCTTTAAAATTTTGTGCTTTAAAATAAAGTAGTTTGGCACTGATACCTAGAAGATAATATCAGATGATATTGGGTCCACACAATGATGTGATATTACGTATAAAGACATATGTTTACATACTTATGTTTAAATATTTAAATAAATATAAGGATATTTAGGGATTTTTTAAACGTTAGGGATATTTATCACATTATGCAAGCAACTACAAATAAAAAGGTAGCTTAGCAACAAATCGAAAAGCACTTTGTAATCTTAATATAACAAAAGAATTTCCAATTTCCAAATAAATTCTATCCAATTTCCTTAAAGTTAAAGAAATGATTAATCATAACACCAATGGATGAATGCCGTTGATCTCTTCAAAAAGAAAAAGAAAAATAACGAAAGAACCATGAAAAATGTCCTTAAAAGAATAATCTTTAAGCCTAATAACTAATTGAATATGAAATGATTCAGATCATTTCTCCTTGTATCCCAGTAGCAGCATTCTCTCCATGTATAATTAAATCCATTTGCGATTGCGACAAATCACTGCACAATAACTTTTCTATACGTATGAACCTATCGTTTGCATCGGGAGTTACTGACGCGGATGTGTCTTGTAAACGTAAAGATGAGCTATGTTTGGCACGTTCTACAAACAAACGAACGGGAGTATTGCAAAAAAAAACAATTTATTTCAGAAATTTTAGTTTATGTTTCTTTACCAAATCTGGCTCTTCTCGTCTCCTGTTCAATAATAATTTCATTTGTTATGTAAACTTCACGTCTTATTTGATCTCTTAGTTCAACACTCATATCTGGTATACACCAACGTACTAATATCATCACTAAGGCCACGAAATTCTATAAGAAAGAGAGCATTTCAAAAACACTTTAAATAAATTTTTTAACCACAATATAAAGGAACCATAAGAATAATGTATTTTTCGCTTCGAAGCGAATCTGAAACACACACCTATCACCTTAAAATGTAATATGTAAAATTTTCTTTTCTATGAACTGAGGACGGTAGCAAAAGGAATCGAAACTAAAACAGCAGTCGAAACTATTAGCCGATTTTGGATTTTCCCCACTTAAACTTTGGCGTGTTGTCGTCCATTTTCAAACTTATGCTTACCATTTTCCCCATTCTCTTTCGACGCTAATATTGTCAATAAATCGAAGCAAATGGTCCAGAGGAAACGACCCAGTCGACTCAATGCCTCGAAATCAGATGAAAATCAAGTATCTATCTACGCCTGCATTTTTTACGGTTACAAGCATGACGACTGCTTTAATATACCGCATTCCGCGGAGAGATAAGTAAGAAATAAATTTAATTCAATGTTAACATTGTCCGGTTGTTCCGCAATGAAAATGTAGGTTAATCAGTGCTTACTGAAACCCGTAAAATGCTTGCATTTAATACGTTATATACAAAAGTTAATTGGAAAATCATAAAATAGTAGAACAATTAAAATAAATAAAATAAATATTATATAATAAAACAAATGATAAAGGCCCGGTCAAACCAAGCGCTAGTTAATGCTTAAAATTTTTCTTGCGAACATTTATTTTAACAAATTAAAAACTCTTCAATCCTTCTGCTGAGAAAAAGATTAGAAGAATTTTTCTTGCCAATTTTGGAACTTGATTCTCAGAAATGGTTTAGTAAGTCGCGTACGTAGTTCCGAATTATCCCTGTCCTCGCTTGTGAAAAGCTCTATTAATGAACCGACGAACATAAGGATCTCTTGATTAATCTGACTTGAAATCTCACGTTGACCTAAAATAAATGGATTTCACGACGTCTACGTCTTATGGCAACCTTAAGCTCCGTTTTCGCCACCTTTTATTGTACCGATCGATTCAGAATCACTTTTTGCATCGATCTAACCTTGTCTGTACACGTCCGTCCTTCTGATATCCGCCCAGGCATTTTTGTGTTCAGAATCACTTTCGAGACAAGTTTTCTTGTTTGTCTATTTGTCCGTCCGTACGTCTTCTATTCTTGTGTTCTTGTTGTTATTATCGTCATCAACTGGAAAACAAAGGGGAAAGAGAATGAGTTAGAAGATAGTTTAAATAATATACGGGATCAAATGTGTTTTCTTATAGTTGCTCGCAAAAAAAAAAAAAAAAAAAAAAAAAAAAAAAAAAAAACAGACAAAGGAGAATCGCAACATCCAATGCGTCACTGGCGCTTTACGGCACACAAATCCTTAGCTACCGCTATTGCATTCGTTCTATGAGGTTTGCTTGTCTACATTTTCGCCTTTTCATCTCTTTCTGTTGTAAGCGTAAAACATACTCAAACTTAATCTTTCGAGGTATTAAGGTCAGTCGCCTAAATTATTAGTTGCAGCACATTAAATACCCGACTAATAAGAAGCGAAGGCCTAAAACCAAATGAAACGAATTCTAAAGAAAGTGAAGAAACATTGTGCAAAAAAAAAAGAGAAGACAAATGCTCGCACATCCATGCATAGATACAATACAAAGACAAAGGTTTTTATGTTAAAGATCAATGGACTCGCGTACAAACATACTTTAAAAGGTCTACCAGAGGCAATCAACCAAACAAACTAATGATTCCCAAATGCATGTCAGGCTGCATTTAGAGCAAATTAAGAAAATCGAGAAAATAGAAGAAAAGTTTTTATAAAATGTCATACGTATATACGCGGCGCCTATCTATATGAGATGCAGATACTTGTTGGAAATGCATAACAAACACAATTTAGTAGCTAACGCAACCCAGTACGGGAAACAACGCTTTAGATAGTCATAAAACAGAGCTAAAACCAAACAATAAAAACTAAAAATTTTTAGTTTTTGGAAAAAAAAAAAAAAAAAAAAAAAAAAACACTTGAAAAATATGAAACGATTTACTTGCTTTAATTTACGTTCCATTAGCTATACAGCGGCTGCTGTGGATATCATATTATCCTGCTTGATATGGTGCCTGTGTAGTTTATATTTATATCACGATTATTACCGCATGACCAGTTGGTCGTCAGGGCGAGACAATGTAATCATTAATAAATCGTTTAACAATTTTTTAAGCACAGTCGGTAAGTCGGACTCGTGATTGGGATTAGAGGATCTAAGATATTTAAGATGAATTACGAAAGCAAAAAATCTTGATTTGAATTTCAGTGAATTATGTGTTGTTGCATAATTTCCCGGATGCATTTTACGTGGTCATGTCCATTATCCTATGGATAAAATCCTTAACTAATTTCGTCTTAGCAGCAGTGCTCATTGATGGTATAAAAAGGGTAAATGCGGATATCCTAGAAAATGCTTCCCAAGACATTCTCTAATGAAATTGATTTTTAAACTTTAAACTTTACACAGAAACGTACCATTTGTATAGCACCTTGGCTCATAAATACCATAATATCGATAATCGTTGAGGTGACGGTTTATATATTTATGGAATTGAAATTCAATGAAAGCGATGCTACTCTTGACAAACGCATAGTCCGAAGCATCATGTTTGGCATCTTCATAAGTAAGTTTTTGCATTATTTTCCGTAATTATGTTTGTTTCATTAAAAAAAAACACCCCTTTTCTTCCTGGTCTTCTTCCCTAGTGTTCAATTTAATGTTCACATTTGCAATTTTTTGTTTATGCAAAATATTAAAAATTCAACAAGAGGAAGCGCGCGAATTGCAAGAAAGTATTGTAGAGACTACAGGAATATTTCAGCATGTAAAGGTTTGAATGCATTTATATATAGACTTAAAGAAAAACCTAAACAAAATCTTGTCATACAGTAGTCTTACCTCAAACACTACCACAAATCCTAAACGACAGGCTAATATAATATAAAACATGCTGCTTAACTCATATTTATTCTCTGAATTCGGAGGTTCACGAAAATCTGTATATCTGTAATTATAAAAGAAAAGTATAAATATATATATATATATATATATATATATACATATATATATAAAATCATAAAAGTTGAATAAATAGAAAAAAAAAATTTTAAAAATTTATTCGTTTCCTTTACCTGCACACGGTTAAATTTGAATCATCACCAGCCAAACTATTTAATGCGGCCGAATCGCTTATCTTAAATTCCGATAGGGTAAACTCTAAATAACCTTTCAAGGAACCATCTGGGGAGACAAGACCACGATAAACCCAACGGGGAATCATGTCGGAGGTGAAAGCTATTATAAAACCCTAAGGAAGACAAAAGTGTAAATACAAAGACTTTTATAATCAATGATTGGCAAAATTGCTTAGCGTGGAGGTGATTTCATCCTAATTTCCATTTTAAAAACTTAAGAAAAAAGCAAATTGCTTTTAGTAGGAATTAGTCTTTGAGAAAAACTTCAATTGCATAACATTAATACATGATCGAAGAAGCTGCCTGACCCGAAACGTTTTCAATAGCAATGTCCTTGGGGCAAAATGCGTCGATGAGCCAAACTTGATCAAAATGTCTGAAAAATTTCGGACTTTCGGTTCAACACAAGAGAACGTAGAGAGATGTCAGACGGACAGACGGACAGACAGTCCGGCAAGCTCGTCATACACATATACATAGCGCAAACTTAATATGCCCTTATACCACAAGCGTTTAAAAGCGAACACGATGGAACCCGATTAATTTTCTTACATTAGTGATAACACTTAGTTTGCCAATGCAATCCAATATTCGATACCAAACACCAATATCACGAACTCGTTGCGATACTGGCCGGCGATGATGAGTCAATAATTTTTTGGCATCTAAACGCATCTCCAATATGTTATTTAATAAGGCAAAGAACGGAGCCAAAGGGAAAGCGGCTACGAATATTGTAACAAACCCGTATTGTAAAACTAAAAATGAAGAAAATCTCTAATATAATGAACGAATAAAGACTATATTCCTTGCTTCCATGCTTCTTACCCATTTCAAGGTATTCGGGAAATAAGCTCCTAGCACCCCAATCGAGCAATTTCAAATCCCTGAGCCAACGTTCTTGATTCTCTTTAGGGCCATCGTGATGTTTGCTGGAAAAAACACGCGTTAGGCCCACCTTGACCCACATAATGCGACGCCAGAAGAAAGGCATTATCACTTCCAAAATTGTATTAAACGCCTGTTTACCTATCATAATAATGCCCAGTTGGATGCATAATTCAGTCAAGCAACCTCCAGAAGAGCACTAAAATGAAAAAAAAAAACGAAAAGTGATTTCGTACCATAGATATTTTTATATTTTATTAAAAGTTTTCACCTCTTCCTGGCGATAGTCAAAGAACTTTTTGTATTCACCTGGATGCCCCACAAATTTCCCCTTAAAAAATGCTATATAAAATATTGAGGCGTAATAGTTAACGAATTGCAATAAATAAATTTTCAAAGTCAATGAGTCATCAAATTGGGTTTGTGTGCGCCACATTTCCAATTCCGTTAAATACTCCGCCAAAGAGTTGTAGACCTTTAGATGCAAAGCAAAAAAATGTTATCGGACAGTAGAAACTAGAAAAAAAAAGAAGGAAAACTTACATAGTTAAGTACATAGAGGAGACATAAGTTGACAAAGGCTGCGGAAGCGGTGGCAACCATTATGGCGCTGGAGGTAGTTAAAGGCGAAGAGCGCAACTTTAAAGTGGCCAACATGGACATACGATAAATCACCACAGCTACCAAAGCGACAAAGGCTAAAGCAATTAGCAGAAGAACCATCGAAACACTAAAGACAGCTGCTGGCAATCTCATACGCCAAAATGGTACTCTGGGCTCTTTCATGTTCGTTACATAATCGGTTCGGGTAGCCGGCAAATGTTGCAATTTTGCCAAATACTGAGGTCGGGGATGTTCCTCGTGCACATCAAATCCCGTTAAATCCCAACGATGTGTTATTTCGGCGGAATACCGTTTCCAAAGTTCTAGGAACAATGCTGCCCAAAAGGACATAAATACTGCAAAAAACACCGTGCTGGGATTATCAATGAGGTAAGTGATTTTCGCGTAGAAACAGGTCTCTTTAAGTTCCCAAAAATTGCACCAATCGCATAAAGGACACATAGTGATATTAGCTTTGACACTACTAACGCAGAGATCTTTGCTGTGCAAACACAATGTTAACCGTATAGCTAATTAAAGAGTCTCACTCCCAAAAAAGGAAATCAACTTACACAGGTACATAGTCTTTCAAGGTAATCCAGGAGTATAAGGAACATATAAGACCAATCACAGCGGCCAACAGCAGCATATATGTATAGAAACCCAACCAAGCGAAATATAGACCAATTTTAACACCAAAATATTCCTTCACATAATCCAAAGGTTGATAGCGGTACCATTTTCGCACGGAAGCCCAATGATCATACAAGGTATTGCGCATTGTATACTTTTCAGTGATTTCGCCCTAGAAGGGGAAAAAATATTATTATTGACTGTAAAGAGGGAAAAAATTAAATGAAGCTAACGTCGTGCAAGGGATAGGCTGCACAATATACATTATCAGCTACCAAACGTTCTATACCAAAAGCCATCTCATCTTGAGTTTTTGGTGTAAACCGTTGACGATCGAGTATGAATTGCACGATACGTGAACGAACAGCCGGCGTAAAGAAATTACTGTGACGTATATCAAATCTGAGGAAAGACAAAGTAATTTTTTTACAATTATGGATATCTTTTCTTCTTCTTCTTCTTCTTCTAAAAACTCAGAGAATCAAAGACAGATGATTCACCGTGAGAAGTGACAAATGTTCATGGCGAACGCAAAGTTCTTCGCCCGAATCTTAACTATTAACAAAAAAAGGTTAGTTTTGCTTATCGTTTTTTTTTTTATATCATTTCTTTATCACTTTTATTCACATCTCCGTCTTATCATTTTCTGCTTATGATACGCCCGCCTGTTTTTTTTTAATTTTTCAATACGACTTGATTTCAACGAAAAAGATTTTTAAAAACACTTTTAAAAAAATTTTAGACATTTTTTCAGATCTTCTTTCAGAAATCTTTTTCATTTTTCTTTTAAGTTTATAACGATTTTATGTAGAAAAAATTGCAAAAAAAAATTTTCTTTCAAACTTGAATTTTTTTAAATGTTTCCAAAATTCGACCAATGTAGGTAAACGCACATAAATACTTAAAAAAAAGTTCCATAAATTTTGGATCGCTCTACCAAGAAAATACCTTCCTCCTAAATGTAAAAGTTTCCCACTTTTTATGACCTGCATTAGCGTGGGTAAGATGTTGGTGCGGATTTAAGGTACACATCTGTTTTAAGTTTTTAAACATCACATCTGAATTCTTGCAGAAGACTGAATGAAAAAGAGTTTTCAAAAATACCGTCTTATCTTCTAAATATTCATATGTCATCATACACTACATCACTCGTAGTTTAATGGTGCATTTACAATCCGCAGAAGGACTTCGGACGGACCCACCTTTTATTATACCGATCGAAACTTGTCTGTCTGTCTGTCCGTCCATTTTGTTTTCTTGTGTGCCTTTCGCAATTTTTCTGATATTTCGATGAAATTTAGTACGCTGCTGGCCTGAGCTTTGGCCCAAGGACGGACTATTATAAATGGTTCGGATCAAGTCCCACATAAAAGCTTCTTTTAAAATGTTGCGACAAGAATAACGGTAGTGTGTGGTGTGTGTGAATTGATGGAGGATATTTGTTGATGGGCCGCGGCCCACTATAGTTAAATTTCTTTTTTTTCTTGGAAGTTTTTACTTACGGATTTTAAACATAATTATTACACAGTCACAACAAAGCATTCCGTTTACAGTTACATTTTTAATAATAAAAAACAAACTATGTTTTGTACACTTTGGAATTCAAAAGTATTAGATTACGTACTAGACTCCTAGGAAATGATTGCTTTTCCTAAGAAAAAGTACACTTTTGTTCGCATATCTATGTGCCAATCCGTGATTAGGCATAAATGTAACAATATTTGAGTGTTTAAAATTTACTTACAAATATTCCTTATCACGACTATAGATGGCAGTAAAACGTTGTGTAAGTCGAGGAAAATAACGCTCATCCACATAAATGTGTTTCATGAAAAACGTCACAACACCTTTAAGACTCGAAAAGACACTTTTAGTAGAACGATTGACCACAGACATACCAGGTATCTAAAGTAAGAAGCGAAAAAACAGAGACATTTATATGAAACATGTACACAAGCACACAAAACTATTTAACATAATGCAAGTAAAACATAACCGAAAGCAGCAGATTTATTCACATCAAGCCATTCAGGGAACATCATTACAAACTAAATTAAATGAACTGCATTCCAGCAACAAATGAATTTTATGAAATAAATAAATTTTTAATAAATAAATGAAATTTTAAAATGAAAATGAAAAGAAAAAGAGAAATTAGAAATAATTTCGAAAATTATTGCAGCAAATTGAAATGAATTTTTTTTTTTTAAATTGTACTTTTAGAAGACTGATAGTTAATTATTATATTAATATTAACGCAATTTACAATCAAAAAAAAAAAAAAAAAAAAAAAAGCTGAAATTTTATAGGAAAACTTGAATAACACTTAAGAGACATCGAGTTTTATGAAACATTTCACAGCACCTTTCGTGAAATGTATTGGGCTGCATTATGCAGACGATTGCTTTTTGCAAAAATATTCACGTTGCAAATTAACTAAAAAAAAAAAACAAATAATTTGTAAAAAAAAAAAGTTTTTTTTAAACAATTAATGAATTCATTCGAGGGAAGAAACCTGAGGAAGAATAGCTACAATTCTCAGCCATAGCCACAAAAATCTAATCTTACCTCCTTCATGGGCATACGTAATTTCAAAATTTCGGCATATCGTCTTAAAACCTCTAAAGGTGCATGGATCTGAAAGAAAAGACATAGATACCAATTGAGAAGAAAGTCTTCGAAAAATTCTTTTTCTTATTTATTTTTTTTTTTTTCGCTTTACCTTAACAAAATAAATTTGTTCTTTCTCTTTAAACGTCCTTTCAATCTCCAATCCCTCCAGTTCCAAATTTCCTTCGTACACTCGACGCTTTTCAGCATTTGCTTCTTCTATGTGCAGTTGGGTGTTCAATCGAAAAACCAAAACGAAATCAATAGAACGCAAGCCATCCTCGAAGAACAGGGAGAGATTCTTCTCATGCCTCGCATAGTAGTCATTGATTGCCCTCAAGCCATTCTCAAGCGCTTCTGATGTTTCTCCAAACGGCGCTAAATTTGTTTCAGTCATAGATAACAGCGATTTGGAAGGAGTCACTGAATTGCATTTAATATTATTTGGCTTCTTGTGGGATTTTTGGCAATGATGAGGCTTATGGTAATTATGACGATGCTGATAATGACGAGACTTTGGTAAAATGTACTGATTATTGTTAATCGCTGAGTTTGAGGAAAAGTCTTGCAATAATACGGTAGAAGTTGTGCTGTCTTTTATTAAACTATAAGTAGAAAACATATATATATATATATATATATAGTTGAGAAAATAATTTATTATTTTTGGTATTAAACAACAAGTTAATGAGGTTCGAGCATTCGCTAATGTGCTAGTGACACGACACGCAAATCTACTCATCCTAGATGTTATGCTTCCCTCTCTGCTTTTGGTATCAAATCCAATCAACCCTCAGTTGAATATGTCACTAAAACATTCGCATATCATGTACAAAGACAGCAAACTGTTTTCCGCCCGTTAAACATAAGCAATTTTTTATTAAATTTCATTATGCGCACAAATAATTTTATTAAAGTGAGACATTGTATGCTCGCATTAGCTTCAAAATCTGAAGGTTGACTGAAGCAAAATAATCCATCAATAACGAGACATTTGCATTAATATCCTATAAGTCGAGCTGGACGTCTTTCTTCTTCGGTTAGAGATATGGCACAGAGAAGGCGCCATTATTCAACACGCTTTCTATAATGATGTAACAGTTTGCGAAACGACGGCGATTGGGTACATTCGGGGTGGCTGACCGTGCACGTTAAACATAAAACTTTGTTTCTGCTCACACCCATCACTAAAGGACGAAGGGTATATTTATTTTGTCAAAACGTTTGCAACGGCCAGAAGCGAGCATCAAAGTGTATACATTTTTGGTCACAATCAAATTCTAAATCAATTTAAGCATGTCCGTCTGTCCATCTGCGTAAGGTCTGTTGCAAACATTCTCCTGCCTGCAAAAACGGAACTATCAACTTCAACTTTGGCAGAAGCATTGGGAGTTCTTGCGCGCATGTTGGTCGAAGAACATGCCCCACAGCGCTTTGTAAACTGAGGACACCTATGTTTTTCAAAAGGCAAAAGGAATTGCTTTTTTGTTCGTTACTCATAAACTATAGCAGATAAATGTATAAAAATTTGAACGCATATTCTAGGGAAGATGCTGCAGCACCTGTATGATAAGGAAAAAAATTGGCCACACTTACCAAATGGCATAGTATATCAAAATTTAACTTTTTTTCATTACCCTCATAACACGTACAAATAAGCTTCAAAAACCCCATAAATTATAGAAATTCTTGACCCGTTTCAAATTTGGAATGCACCTAAACATATCTGTCTGTCCATCTGTGTGTATGCGCAGCTGTGTAGTATTTGTGATAAACATTCTCCGGTTCGCGAAAATGAAGACATCGCTTATAAATTTGCAGGGATATGCCTACAACGCCCATTCCGCATTATAGAGCATGAAAATTTACTTCTTCCCCTTTTTTTGTCCTATTTGATGATGGTGGTGGATGTAAAAAGATTCCGTCACGGCCTTATCTGTTCGGTCTTATCTGTTTCTTTTTGTTTTGTTTGGTGATGAAAGTATATAAAAACAAGGGGAAAATGAAAATGCGGACTTACATCGAATGATTTTTGCTTTGCTTTCCAATACATATTCAAATTGACAAAAACCGATTCTATCAAAAACGAACTTTTAAAAAAACTAAACTGTAAGCTTAAAGATTCTATAACGGTATCTGTAAAACTAGAGTGCCGTTACATTGTACATAAATTTGTCACCATATTTTACTGCCCGCATCTAATATCGCATATCACATACATATCACATTTAACATACAAACGTCGTAATGTGCGCTCGAAGAGTCATCCTCCAAACAAAATCGAAGCACTATTATTAAGAGAAAGTTTATAACATTCAGACTTTGTGGCTTGTGCGTGAGGGCGCCTATAAAATAATTTTTCTGACTTTTTTTCACCAAGAGGCAATCATTTACAATCAGGTTTGCTCCCATCGATCCTTTAAAATCGCTGTCTCAATAAGTCGTTCAGCGCATGCGAAATAATTTCTCTAACTTTTTCTTAAAAAATAATCGTTTGGAACTAGTTTTGATCTTAATACAGTTTCAAGCGTTTATGAAATAACTTCTTTGATTTCCTTTAAGAGATACTACCCTTTACACTATTAAATCGCTTTCTCAATAGAGTGCCAAACGCTTGCGAGATAATTTCGCTGATCTTATTTTAAAAGGCAATGATCTGCAACCATCTTAATAGCTTAATAGTTTATTAGCACGTCAAGGGCCTATGAAATAGTTCTGTGACTTTTTTTTAAAAGATAATGATTTGAAATCAGGTTTCCCCGCCTCAATCTTTTCCAATCGCGTTCTCAATTCAGCAGCAAACGCCTATAAAATAATTTCTCCAACTTTTCTCGAAAGATAGTGCATTAGAACGAGTTTTGCTATCCTTGCTACTTGGAATGATTTCAAATCGCAATCATCTCTTTAGAGAGGCAGGCCGACAATACTACTTCAAGTTCAACTAAGTTATGCCTTAAATGCGACCGTTTTCTTAAACAAAATCTAATGAATATCCAATATGTGTGATATGTACGTTTAGCACCCTGCGCTTTTACGTTAAAAATTCGCCGACTTAAGAGAATTACATACTAAGTCTAATCTTCTCCATTGCTAGTGTCTTTACCCTTTTAGCAACACTGCGGCACAGTTTAAAAAAAAAAAAACTAAAAAATAAATTTCTCATGTCTCGGTATTTACATCAAAATGAAAAGATGTAAATGAAAATTATTTGACTTTATAAGATACAATCAAATTTGTGAATGCATGTACGCACTTGTAGTTCCTCAGTCAAGCAATTTCTGCTCCGTTGAAATATAAAAGATTTTAATAAAAAAACAAAAAAACGATTTCAACGCAAGGTGTGCGCAGGCACAGCACTTTATAATTTAGAGAACAGTTCAGAAAAACTGACTCGAAGAAAATCCGAAAAGGACAGATATGAAGTGAAAAATTTGGAAAAAATTCAAACACTACGTTAACAATGATTACACCCTACTTGCAACATAAGCACAGATGTGTTTCGCGTTCATAGCCTCTTTGTGCAACTCGGGGAAGGGGAGCTTGGCAAAA